GAGAGAGTGAGAGATGGAGATGGGACTGAGTTGTGATTTTAGGTTTTAGGTTATGAGTTGCGATTACGAGATATACTGTGGACGGTTCAGTGTTCCAATATATTAATATTCGTGTTTGGAATTTAAAAATAAAATACTTGGCCAGGATACTAATGGCGCTTTGAAAATCGCATTGCGATTATGTATTATCGTGTTGCGAAAGTCAGAATCGCGTTGCGAAAGTCAGTATCGCGTTGCGAAAGTAAGTATCTCGTTGCGATTTTGTATTATCGCATTGCGATAGTCAGTATCGCATTGCGATTTTCCCAATTCGCGTTGCGATTTACTTATTCGCATTGCGATTTTCTCAATTCGCGTTGCGATTTACTTATTCGCATTGCGAATTGGGAAAATCGCAACGACATTGTAGACCATCGTAACGCGATTTTCAACTATCGCATTGCGAAAATACAACGCGAATTTGCGATAATGGAGATCGCGTTGCGAATTAGCGATCGCATTGCGATTTTGTTGGTCATTTTGACAAATCCGAAAAAAATTGATTAAAATCGTATATTATATGAGATTTTTTGACACTAAGGTTATTTTCTCTTCTTAAAATTTTATATCTTTATCCATTAATATATCCCACCCGCCAGTCTCTACTCAATAGTACGTCCCTACTGAATAGTTCCTGGTAATCAATCAGACGCTGCTGTTTTTAACAGCATTGCTTGTGAAATTTTGTGGTTCCGTCTGTTCCAAAGAATGTACTGCTGAGAAGATGCATTGTCTTGCACGCTGCTGTGTTTTGAGTTTTGCACAAGTAGGGATGGGGAGTTCTATATTCCTCCCATGTGAAAGTCTACTCAGTGCCCTATGCCGATTCGAATTTGAATGTCGAATTCAGATTCGTGTCTGGCCTAAATGCCTTCAAGGAAATCTAAGAGATACAAATCACGGTTAATGACAAATAATGTGCAAGGAGAAACAGCGTTTCTTCATTGATGCTTTGATCGCGATTTGTGGATGGGGATACAATTTCAAGCCCAAGGGCAAAGATTACACAAAACTAACAAGAAAACAAGAATCATACAAAATGAGCCTTGTCAAGGGACATATTCCGTTGGCCAACAATTAGGAGACATAAATTAAGCAGCAAAGCTGCTGGCTGCTCATCGCTAGTTTTTTTTCCCTCTGCGAAACATCAACTTGAGATAATCGACCGCTAATCTGGTACAAAGCCATGAACTACTGCAAAGGTCCAAAACACATTAAAAAAAAATGACCAGTAAATTCTAGCATTATTATAATCACGATCGTGTTAATATAGTTGCTGCAAATCCATGAAGAGAACATAAATACCTTAACAACAACCGTCTATTTCGCGTGGCTCCACAAGGATATAGAGTGGCTTTCCATTAAGCCTGCGCTGCCCCTGAAAAATGATAACAAGCAACCCCATGCCATCGATCATTGCATTCCAACCCAGTAAGACCAATGTTACGGTACAGCAAAAATAACAAAGTTCTCTTCAAAATCTCAGTTTATCACAAATTTTTAAAACGAGGGAGGGAAGGATTTACCTTGACCTCGCGGAGTCCGACAACGCAAGCGCATTCGACAACTTCAGCACCAACACGTTCTATTTAAACACTAACCTCATTTTATATGACATGTGATGGTAATCATCAACAAACTTGAGAAGAAGAAGAAGAAAGCCCAAATTTTACCTAGGAGTCTTATGGCAGCTGACAGGGTTCCCCCGGTTGCGACCAAATCATCAATTACTATAACACGTTCTCCGGGCGGAATGGCCCCAACGAGCATCTCCAAACAGTCTGTTCCATACTCTAACTCATAAGCTTCAGCAATTACTTCACCTACAAATAAGCAGTCAGTTTCGTACTCCAAATATCATTACTCTTTTTTAAAATTAAAAAAAAAAACTATTCAGATTTTCAGCCCTCGCTGATACACTTAAGAGATAACACTAGCAAGTACCTGGTAATTTTTTGGGTTTTCTCAGAGGAACAAACTTCGCACCAATGGCTAAGGCAATTGATGGACCGAACATGAATCCTCTAGCCTCCACTCCTACAGATAAATTTGCAACATTGAATTCGCAATTAAAGAAGAGGAACCCGTACTAGTACTAAGAGAAACGAGAAGGATACAGAACAGAGAGAAGGAATAGTGAAGGGTAAAAGATCAGTTTACTGAGCAAATTATTTCCTAAAGAAATATAATTATTACAAAAGCAAAAGTAGAAGCAGAAAACACGTAAACAAAATTTGCAGTTTTAACTGTTTTCTTAAAAAAAGAAGCAAAGAAAAGGGTGTTTGAGAAGAATAGACAAGATGCAGAGTACCAGCTATTACAGAGATATCCATGTCTCTGTAGCGATCGACAAAGATGTCGATGGTATGCTGGAACGCTTTGTGATCCAGCAACAAGGTTGTTATGTCTTGGAACATAATCCCTACAAACCATACAAACAAACAACGAGATTAATCAAAGATCCTTAAAGAAAACAAATTCAGTCTGAATAACAGAGAAAAAAAGAACCTTGTTTTGGGAAGTGAGGAACCACTCTAATGGCGTCAGATATGGCTTGTAGCCTTGGGTCACCTTTGAGTCCATTCTCCGCTGCAAACATTCTTCTTCCAACTCTGATTTCTCCTCTGCGATAATCTCTTCAAAGAGACAAAGAAGCAAAGAGATTATTAATATTATATAGGGGGTCCCCTCTTTTCACTTCTGGGCCTGTCCAGTATTGAATCGGACTCTTTCGCTTCTTTTCTTGCCTCCTAAAAAGATCAATTCTTTCTTTCTTCCCAGTGTTGGTGCTGGTGTGTGTGAGAGAAGAGAGGAAGAGGGTAAGTGGCTTTCAATACTATAATCCTTTGTCTATTTATGCTGGCCAGTTCCGGGCACCATTGCTCCAAGTCACTGTTACTTATCACGCCGCCTTAAAGGCATGCACCCCACGCGCTTCACGCATTACTCATGCTCCCCATTAAATTCCTTTATGGCGAATCTGATTTCAGTACTTGCCTTTTAGCATGTCCGCGTTCCTCGATCTTGTGTTATTTACCTACATTTTCTTTAAATTTCATATGCTCCAGAAATGTTAGTTGAATTTCGATGTGACATAAATAGATAAATATAACTTGAAATTTGTCTGATCAGTACACAGTTGGTTAAATCATTGAGATTTTGTGTTGAAAAACATTGAGATTCAGTTTAAGATTGACTTTTTTAATAGTTTAAAAAATATTTGATAAATTACAAAAGAATGAGACTTCATTTTGATTTCCCCATCTTTTCAACCCATAGTCTAATGTATTTTTAAAATGTATTAATTATGTTTGATCGCAACTTAATGACTATAATATGATGAATGCATATATTAAGCATTAACCTTAAAATAAATATTCATACACTACATGCCCTGAGATAAATATTCCATCTTGTTTGATACATTTTTTATCCTTCATGTTTATGTATATTTTTTTATTAATTTAATCAGTAATCTTAAAAGTAAAAGTCATTATTAATTGAATAATGTATTTTTAATATATTTTTAAAGTTTAAATAGATAAAAACCTAGACGTGAAGCATTGAAAATATGATTTATCTTTTTATAATTATTAAGTCGTGAATTTATAATCATAAATTAATGAATGAATCAATATTTTTAAACAAATACAATATAAAGATTTAATATTATGAAATTAAATTTAAAATTAAATATTAATATTAAAATTTGATTTTAAAATAGTTTAACCGCAATTAACATATTTACAGCTCTACACTTTTTTTAATCTTTAGATATGTACAAATTTGGAAGAAAAACCAAATTTATGTAATCAACGTGTTGCAGTTTCAAATCAGCCGTGAGTCAGAATCGCCACTTCTCGTTCCAGCACGCGCGTAGAGGTGAAAGTGGGATTACGAAGATGCAATTTCCAATAGAAGATCTAATTTTTCTGGATGTCTACACTGTTCAGTCAGTATATCTAATCTAAGGCTCTCCAAAACCCAGGCTTTCTTTCCATAATCTCAATACAATTACCAATTACACTACTATTTAAACAACAAGCAAACGCAGCCTTAAGAAACCTTCTCCCTTTTCATTTTTCTTTTTTTAAACCTTTCCTTCCCATCGACGTTGTCTGGATATTACATTTTAATTTTGGTAGGCCTGTTTGGCGTCCAAAAAAAGCGGTCCATTGTCCAAAGCATTTACAATTACTTTGATATCCTTCGTGATATTTTTCATAAAAATATTTTTATTCAAAACAAGCATGCAGCAATTCACAAATTATCTTTACACGTCCAACCTAATTATCATAGACTTTTAAGACCTGCCACAATTACTTTTATAATTGATCCTTCACACGTTCAAAATTAAAATACGCCTCTCTGGTGATACTTAAAAATCATTTGAATAATGGATCAAGTAAAATTGTTACTAGAAGCATTCTAAATAAATATTTTAGTAAATTTAAAAATTTATTTTAACTTCATTTTTAAATAATATTTTTATTTCAATAATGATTAAAAAGTAAATGTATTTGATTTTTAATTCAAATTAAAAGACTGTTTTATGAAGAAGTCAAATAAAAAAAATACTTTAAACCCTTAAAAAATATTTGTTATATTTTTAACACAAATTTTGGACCTGGAATATTTCCTTTTATTTTTTTCTTGCAAAAGAAACATTTAAATTTTTATCGATGAAATACCACAAAATAGCTGAGCTCTGTAAACTTTTCTTTTCCTAAACCCGCCGTTCTCAGTCTTTTGAGAAGAACGAAGTAAGGGCATTCTCGTCATACGGAACTAACTGACGGCTACCGATAGGCAGAGAATCATGTAGCGGAAGATTTTTCAGATTTTGAGAAGTTGTCCCTGAGGTGAGTGGTCGCTTTATTTATATTTAAATAAAATAACAATATTTTCATACCTATAATTATAATAGTAAATTAATTACCATCAATCAGTTGATTTAGTAGGATGAGGTACTAGATCTCTTAAATAAAGTGAGAGGTTTGAATCATGGCATTTACGAATAGAGCAAACTGAGTTGGGAGGGTCGTCCTCACCTCTGCAGTTTCCGATCTGAATTAGTAGATCAATAGATCAGATATCAATGATTAATTTAAAAAAATAATAAATTAATTACATAAAAAGAATCACATAGCACTTCCTTCTTTATTGAAAACTTCACTCCTTTAAAAATTATAATTACTTATTTACATAAAAAGAATCAGATATTTTTTAAAAAATAGTTAAAATTGTAATAAAAAATAATTACGTTGGAAAAGTATTGAAATATTTACTGAGCTCTCACAGTGATATGATGTGGCAAGTTGGGTAACGTGAATGAGTCTAGATGGGCCATACACGTGGAATAATGGAGGGATCGTAACGGCTTTTATGAGGGGCTCTAGAAAGTAGTGGGGTTTACCGAGCCGCAGTGGAATACTGCCACGTAGGCAGATTGGAAATCTAGGCGCTTTGTCTTTTCCACAATTGACCATATATTATTATTTTAATGTCAAGGGGCCCAGAGGTAGATACGCGTGACGTCATCATATAGATTGCGTTTTTTCACGGCTCTCAAACCCATGCATGTTGTTAACACACTGTAAAGAATTCCCGTGAAACACGACGCCATGTTTGAAAATTCATTCTATATGAACATCTTTTTGTCGGGGAATGTTCGAGTTTTACATGCAATTTGTTTGTTTATATATGTATAATTCATTTAATTACTTAAAATATAGTATTATTTTATTATTAATAATCCAATAATCATTGGTCTAATTTTCTTTTAAAAATAAAACAAAACGGTAAAATAGTAAATAAACGCGCAGATGAACGGGCGTGTGCCGCAGTTTTATATGACGGACCCCACAAAATAAAAAATGGACGTACTGTTCATGCGCACGCGAGTGTACTGAAGAAAATGGTAACATTATCGTGAACACTTTTCGAGTTTTTGATGGATCCTCACTCACAGCCCTCTTTGATTTTTCCCTTTTTTCACAATTATGGTTACCTTTATGTTTTTCTACCCCATCATCCTCCCTCTCTTTCAACGTTCATGATATTCTCACGTAACTGCTCTCTTCAATCTCCACCGTCAACTATGATCATGAATGGTCCCACTCCTTTAACTACCACGTGTCATTTTGTTTTAAATCCTTGTTTTCCAACATTTCCTCTTATTTTTTGTGAAAAATTTTCCCACTGTTAACAGTCGTTAACCTTAGTGGATTGCAGGCTTAACGGTTTTACCAGCAGAGTTGTAATGGACATAAATTAAGCAAGACAATTAACAAAATATAAGACAGCAGTCTTCTTATTGTCAAGATGTCATTTTGTATGATTGTCGGTAATGGATCAGATTTCTTGTCGTCAAGATGACTGTCATTATGTAGCATAAAGAGTTAAGTTTTCCAAGAAGCAAAGTTAATACTTCACTGCCATTTCATGGTAATGGGTGGTAGGTTGAAATGAATCATAATTATGGTGGAAATGACAACGATTGGGCATTTAGAGTTAACAAAAATGGGTAAGTTAGGGGCAGCCATGACTGTAGATCAGGAACTAATGATGTATGAGAAAAGGAAAAGGAACAAAAAAAAACTGGGTTGTAAGGTAAATGTATAAGTCTGCATTAAAAGTACTTTTAGAAATGCTTAAACTATATTTGAATTATTTAATTTTAGGGTAAATTATGTGTTTAATGCCTAGACTATTAGTTTTGGTCTGTTTTAGTATCTAAACTTTCGATTTGTCAAAATCATAACAAAAGTTTAATTTTTGTTTCATTTTAGTACCACGTATCAAAATTTAACATTAAGTTTTGAAAATAATTGGAAGTTTAGATTCTAAAAAATGTCAAAACTGATAGTTTAAATATTAAATGCATTAAGTTTTTAACATCGATATACTAAAATGAAATAAAAACTAAGCCATCAGGTATGATTTTGAAAAAATTATAAGTTTATGTACTAAAATAGATCAAAACTGATAGTTAAGATTAAATGTGCAATTTATCCTTAATTTTAATGTTATACAACGGTGGTTTAAGGTGGTCGGATTGGTTGAAGATAATAGTGAATTAATTAGCCGGTCGTGGTGCACCCTATAACATTCTAATTTTTTAAGTTAATATTCTTGAACAAATAATTAAGGTTTTACAATTATAACAACAATCATTTATTACGTATGTATATCACGTTATGATAAATTAAGGTTTTTCTTATGTAATTCGACGTATGAATGTTATTTCGTTGAGCATCGATGATTAATGTTAACATGTGATACTTATGCCTCCTCATTTATGTTTGATTTGTATGCTTGTATTTATAAATTACATGAAATATAGTGAAATAGATGCATATCATTAAACTTATAACACTTAACATTTAATTTATTTTCGTACGTAAGTTAACAGATTTAAGTTCATGTTAGAGGAGCACAATCAAGGAGGATTCCCAGCATCTCATATTCATAATACAATATATGATTTACTTTAGTAGACATACATTTTCATAAGAGTTTACTACTAAAATCTTTGTTATAGTCTTATTTTATATTTTTTCTTATTCAATGTTCATTTTGAATAAACACTCTATTACTGTTATGCTTTGAATTTATTCAATATAGATGATTTAAAAAGTAAATTCGATGTGTTGGATTTGAAATTGAATGCTTTTTAAATTTGTTGATCACTTTAACGATCCGATACAACATCTCATATACCTTAAATATTTTGGATCGGGTTTATAATATTACACAACTCTTCTAATATGAATGGAGGATTGCATTATGGGAGTCACGTGCTAAAGAGAGCTTTCGTAAAAATACGAATAAGACTCTTGTATCATTGTATTTTTTGTGTCTTCTCTCCTCATGGAGGGAGAAAACCAGATTATACACTCAAAATTCAGAGTTTCATGTGCCAGATTGGAATAGAGAAACATTGTACAACGTTAAGACATGACGAATTTATCTTCCTAATTTATTATTAATTAGATGCAAGATAACAATCCGCGCCAAGTTTTCTCATTTGTTAACCATTTAATGTTATACAATAGTTATGGGCATGTCGCACGGTTAGAAATATATCTTCAACTATAATATATCTTCAACTATATTGAAATTATTAGACGTTAAATTGTATTTACTGAATAAAGAGACTCGTCATTTCGAAAGAGTTTTAGAGACAAGATATGGAAAATCGACATAAAACATGTTTACACGCAAGTCGTGTAATAGAACAATCAAAATCTGTTTTTCCACACAAATATTTCAAAAACAGTTTGGCGTTTGCAAGCTAAGTTGACTTAACAATTTCGTGATTCTCGTTATGTCGACTTAAATTTGGTGTCGGCAATGTTTGCCTTGTAGCGAATCCTAATCTCCCCTCCCCCTTCCACGTCAATAAATAAAGAAAAATAAAAATAATGTTTGACCCACAAAGACAATGTGATCTAGAAAGTTAAACTGGACCTCGTACTATCCACTTCCAAATCATAATGGGATTTATCCGTTGAAGAATAAAATACCGAGCCTCGACCAAATCTCCAAACTCCACTTTACAGCTTATGCTTATCCGACATACGGGGATTCCAGTCTGATCCAGTTATGTGAACATTTTCAGTTCATTTCGTCTACATCACCATCAAATCGATTTATTATTCAAATAATATTATTTTAATTTTACGTATTGTTTGATACCGAAGAATATCCTGAATGATTCCTACCCAGCTAAGTTCACTTTTAATCCACCATGAGTATAGTATTCACTTTTAAAAGATGGCTAAAATTTAATTAACGAGATTTCCTAAGACGATTGATTTTGTTTTCGTTTTAAAATAGCGTTGTTGATAATGATGTTCAATGATGATCATCAGTGTGACGATCTCTCCTATCCAATGACAATGGAAACATTGTCTTTAGCTTCGCTTGTTTTCAACTTCATACAAATCAATACTTTGAAGAGTCAAATGTTCAATTAGTTTTGTACCGGGACAAAGAAAATCTAACAATTTAAGATTTGAAAAAGATTGCCCTTGGAATTTGGGTACCCACTACTGTTTTTTTATAAGTGAGAATGAAAAAGCTAGTCTGATATCGAATATATGGTATTATGATAAAAAAAATATTATAATAAAATATGGATTAACGTAAAATCTTGAATTTGATATCAGACTACCCTTTTCATTCTCACTTATAAAAAAAAAATCATCTATTGAACTATTTCCTTTGCGTTTTGAGCCCCTTACATAGTTGGTGGACCGAGGCACTATTTTTACGGCCTAGAATTCGCCACATGCCATTTTTGTTATTATGAAACCAATAATTCAAAATCTAATTTCAGGCCGAGAGTTTGGTCTTAAAAACCATTAATTAAGTCGTTTGAACTAAGAGTGGTTTCATTCCAGGACCATGGCAGGGTCCAAGTTATTAGGCGTGCCTTCCTCTCAGGGTATATATCGAAATGGGCTGTGGCAAAGAGACTATATGCACTGAAATATAAACACATTGTATTCGATAATGGCTACAACCCAACTTCATTGTTTTCTCAATTCTTTATCTTTACGTCGTAGGTTCAGAGGATTCAAATTGGGCTTACTCATTTTTCTGGTAAATAAAAGCCTACAAAAAGCAACATTTTCATTCTCTCGTCTGATAATGCTGAACACTTCGAGTTTAGAAAAAAAAATGGATGTCCCTTGTTCCCATATGTAATGGGATAAGGAGGAGGTAAGATAGTAGGTTGCCCCCAATACCAGGTTGAGAGCAGCTTCCGTAAAAGACCTCCGAATTTAAGGTCTTGATTGGTTAAATAGAAAAGTGGAATGTTTTTTGAGTGCGCTTGTTATGAAAGAAAATGAGATGAATCTTTTAATTTTCCATCCTTTCAATTTTTTATTTTATCAAATTAGAGGTAAGAAAGTAAAACAAGATGAACGTGAAATAAGTGCAAAAGGGCAGGCAATTAGGACGACCCAAAATCATACGCAAAAACAAAAATGGAATGATGATGTCCTTGCTTTGTATCCCAACACCCCTTCAGGGAATTGACATTCTTTGCGGCTGATTGTTTAAAATCAAGAAACCGAATGATGCAAAATCTATTTCATTTTTTCTACTGCCTAATCTTTTTGAATCTTGACTTTGAATAATAAAAGAAGAAGAAGGGTATTTCAAAGTTCGAACCTAAATGTAAAAAAACAGAGGCGGATCTCTTTCACATTTACAACACATTGGATGCTTTTCAGACTGCAAATATGTTACCATCACATTGCACTCCACTGAAGCCAGCGACTAAAACCGTGTCATGAATAAGGGCAGTACTACTAACCCTTAGCGATGGAGATGTACCCTTAAGATAAGGTAGAGTGAGCCATCCCGTCCCCCACGTGTGCCTCTGAAATAGTTGAGTTTATAAGGGACATGACTGACCCCATAAACACGCATTTGGGAAGGCTGAACAGTGAATTACGAAAACAGTAAGAGACATTGAATTTCTGAGTGTTGTCGCCATCTGTTGAAGAGTTTCCTATCATCTCTGCCGGTGGAAAAAAAGGGGTCTTTCTTTAAATAGCTGTTATTGGTTAGGGATGCTTTGATCCCTTGTAGGGGACCTTTTGTTTCAGTGATGAGAAAACATGAATGGATGCTTTTAGGAGGGTACAGAAAATCTCCCCACTTGCTTTCCTAGCGTGTGGACCGTGTGTCTTGCCGGACATTGGAGACTGATTTCATTGTGGTAATAACTTTTTTACTGTTAGATATGCGGTAAATTTGGTACATAAATGGGATTCGATTGCTTTTAGTTTTAATTGGATGAAAACAACGATTTATCTCTTTTGATTTGGGTGGAGAGTTACGAATCACGATTGATAAATGATCGATTGAACTGTTGTTTGGATGAAGAAAGAGGATTGGTCATGAGGAGAAAGGAGAGATAATTGCAAGTGCCAGTTGCCATATTCATAGATTCGCATGCTAGGCGAATTTTGATAGTCAGATTTTAGATTTCATTCTATTAAGTCATGTGGGTATGTTAAAAGTATCTCTAAAGGTCTCATTCATAAACAATAACTAACTTGATGACCTTTATTTGAGAGAATCCAATTCTCTGAAGGTTTTGATGAACATACGAATTGATATGAGATTTTTGACTAACAGTGAACTTATAGTCTTCCGTCTTTTTTCGGAAGTATAACAAAACTGCATGAATTCAACCAAGTTTAGAGGTACAAAGCGTTTAAATTAATGTGAGAAATATACATACACGCACATGCCAGCTAGAGGGACAGGAAATTATGTGACCAATATGGAATACATCTATCCCCTGTTGGGTTCCACCACACGAGCATGATGATCCAAAACCAGAGTGAATCATGACGCGACTGACCATGAAGAATTGGGATAGCAGCAGCAGCAACTGGATTAATCGGGGTAAATGGCCACGGTTCGGGGGCTAACATGTCGAGCCCATCACGTGAACTTCACAAGGGAACTCGTTCCATATGTTTCGAAATAAAGTCCTTCGCCCCTTAATTTCGCAACCCCACAATGGACGAACGTGAGCGAAGAAACCGAAAAAAAAAACACATACCAAACGTATAATAAGTTGTTGGCAGACTTTGTCCAAGTTCATTCCTCTCTCTCCCCTATTATTGATCTACGATTGTAGAATCAAACTCCGACAAAAGGAAACCTGGTTATTTTAATGGGGAAGAAGAGTTTACGTTCCAAATCATTACAATGAAGAAGATGAATGGAATGATTTAAACCCCTCCATTATCATGCATTGTTATTGTTGAAACAATAGAGTTCATGTATCATGATGTGTTTGAGGATCATCTGCCGACATGTTGGTACGCGTTTTAAAATACTAAACTCACGTGCACGGACTATAACTTTTACATTTGTTACCGCCAAGTTCACTTCAAGTAGGCGGTGGACTATAATCTCAGGATGCACACCTAGTCGAGCATATTAAATTTGTACATTATTACTGTACTCCTTTTTATTAGACTTTCACTGAGATTTAAGAAATTAGTATGGATATATTTACTTCTATACACATTTCATTTGCAACCCTATAAATAATAAATGTGATTTAAGATTTTAGTTGAAAAAACAATAGTGTGATTTAGTATAAATCACAGACACAAACATCCTATATCATTCAAGATATATTGAATCTTTAATGTTATATCTGTATTTTTACGTAAAATTTAATATCCTTTCCTTACCTGTCCGAATCATTGCTAGGCTTTTTCCCGACCCAACTTCCATGCTGTCCCTAACTTCCCCTCTTCCGCATGACACAGGTCAATTCCTTCTCATATTCCCCGTATATAAATGCATCCCCACTTTCATTCTCTTTAACCCCCCCCCATCTCTCTTTCATATTTTTATTGGCTTTTAGCATTGTTAATTCCTACTCTTGATTTCCCATGCCTGATATGGAGCTTCAACTCGGTCTTGCTCTCCCAACACCAAACATAATGAAGGGCTTCGACTTGAACAACCACGGACTGCATCACCTGAAACAAACGGGTTGTTTCAGTGACAAAAGCAAACGTAGTTTTGATCAGGCTTTTGGAAACTTCAAACAAGACCGTAAAACGAAGACCTTGCTTCTTTGGAGTGGTCAGCCAAACGAGGAAGAAGATCACAAGGATCAGAAGAAAACAACTTTTTCCGCCATTGATGAGTAAGCAGCTCTTTTCTTACCTCTTTTAATGATTCCAAACAAAAGGTACTGAGTTTTGTGCTGAAACTGTAGCAGCAACGATGAGGAGGAAGTTGAACAAGTAGTGGGGTGGCCACCCATTAAAACATGGAGAAAGAAAATATTCAAGCAACCGAACGGAGCCGGTGGAATTGAGAACAACCGAGTTGCAGATAAAGAGAAGAGCAGATCCATTTATGTTAAGGTGAAGATGGAAGGAGTGGCAATCACAAGAAAGGTTGATATAAGTCTTTATCTATCTTATCAAACCCTCACCAACTCCTTGATCGCAATGTTTTCCAAAGGTACGTCACAAATTGTATAATAATTCCCTCCCTAAATTCATTCAAAAAAAAAAAGTAGCCAAAGTCTCAATATATATTATTTGAACAGACAAGAAATGTGGTGACGACGATTATACACGTTATATTCTCACCTACCAAGACAAAGAAGGAGATTGGCTGATTGCAGGAGATATTCCATGGCAGTGAGTATCGGCCCTTTCTCTGCTCTTCTTTTATTACAAACAATGTTTGCAAATTCTTTCATCAAATTTAACATGTACCTTTACAAGTTTGTTTAATGTTGGAGTTGTAGAAGTTTTACGAGGAGTGTGCAGCGGCTGAAGATAATAAGGAACCGGGATTGAAATATCGGGTCTACAGTCGACTGTCATAAGGAAAATTTACTAGTTTACCAAACATCAATGCTTTGAAGACCAAATTATTATTTCCGATAAGTATGTAGTTGTAAAAACATGTTAAATGATTGTGTGCGAGCATATATCTCTATATAGTCTAAGCTAGCATGAACCATATGATCGAAGCATATAATTAATTCCGATTAGCTTGCTTTATTTGATGTACTGAGCTTTGTTTAAGTAATATTTCTTGTTAATCACGTTTTGTATGTACCCTTTATTTAAAAAGTAATACCACTGGATGAGGTACTAGATTTTTTAAGTAAGGTCAGAGGTTCAAACTCTAGCGCTTGTGAGTAGAGCAAACAGGTTGGAAGGGTTGCCCTCGCCTTTACAATACCCTAATTTGAATTAGTCGATCAATATATCAGATACAAGTGATTAATTCAAAAATAAAAAATACCACTAGAATTTTATTTGAGTGCTTTTTCACCTTTTTCTTTTAGGATTCTTTTTTAAAAAGGAAGCGTCTACTTTAGTTCTAAACTACACATTTCAAGAGCAGTATATTTACAGAATCAAATGCTTGAATCCAAGCACATTTTTATGTTAAAATTGGACACTAAGTAAAAATAAAATTAAAATTCTTGGTAAACGATGAGTTAAATCCAATAAAACAGCACAAGAAACTTTAATTTATACGTACTTTTCCCGAAACAAATTTGAGTTACTAATAACCAATAGGATTCATCAATATATGTAATAATTGAAGAGAAAATAATGTAAATACTTATGATAAATTGAAGATTTTTTATAGTTGCGGTAAACTAAGGTTATATTTTAGATCTGTTATGATTATGAGTGTACTAGAAAAACAAAAATCTTAACCTTAATTAGTTTAACTCGACGTAGTTTTTAGGGTTAATGATCAAAATAAGATAAATTTAAAAAAAATCACGAACAACCAATTGGTCTAACGGGACGATACATTAGATCTCTTAAGTAATGTTTGGGGTTTGAATCATAACGTTTACAAACAGAGCAAATTGAGTTAGGAAGATCGTCTTTATCTCTGTAATACTCGATTCAAATTAGCTGATCAATAGATCATATATAAAAAAATCTGGTTGATCCCATATTTTATAATAAAACAATTTTCTCCACATAAATTTATCTTATCAATTTCATTTAAGTTGATATTTTTTTATTAAATTGGGGTGATTATAAGTGGTAGTATATATTTCAAAGATTTTCAATCATTTACTAATAAGAGTTCAAATACCTTACAATTATTGGTACTCGAACTAAGATTTTTTAAATTTTTTTTAAAAAAATAACCATCACATTAATCACTAAGATTATTGCGGTTACCGTTTTTAAATTTAGAGTCTCGTATATTTCATTTGGGAAATGGTAATCAAAATATTAGAAAAAAGATACATTGCAATCGTAAAAGACATTTAAAATATAGAATCAATATTACTAAAAAGTAATTATAAAATTTGAATATAAATTAATATAAAAATATATTTCTCTTTAAATGAAGTCTTTTATGCAACAATAATAAATTCATTTACTGATTGTGTCATAAAGCAACTGATTAGTATTCCAATAATAAATATTTCCATTGTTTTATAAAAAAATTGTCTTAATATCAAAATAAGTGTTTAAACTATATTTTTTAAATATATGCTTAAACTAATTTTCGTCTCATCCATGTGCTAAAAGGTGCAACCGTTACCCATTTAGGTGTTCGGGCCGTTAACTTCGTTAATTCCCCCGTTAAGTTACATGTGTCACAATCTGATAATTTTGAAATTTATTTTTAAAAATAAAATATTACAAATATTATGATATTTATAAAAAAAAACTAACTTTTCTTGTATTATAAAACAACCCCAAAATCTCCAATCTTAAATTTATTCCGCCACCACCGCCCTTTACTACCATGACACCGTCATAGTCCCTGTCTTCCTCCTACTTATACACCATCGTATTTTCTGTCGATTGGCCATCGAAATTGCGTGGCATCATGATTTTAATCCTAGGGTTCGGACGGTTTAAAACGTTGATTCATCGTCGATCGTCTGTCGATCGATCACGATTTCACGGTTTTAATTACCGATATAGATAAATACAGTAAAAATAATATTTTCGGTAAAATACTATTTAAAATATTATTTTTTTTACCAAGTTTTTTTATCTTATTTACTTATATCGGTAATTATAATCGATAAAAATAATAATATTTTTAATTATTTTTATCGAATTTATTATTTAAATAATAACAAAACTGATAATGTCTTATTTTAATCGGTGATGCACCGTAAAACTTCCGGTGCCTTTAACCTAGGGAATGATTCCCCTAATGTGAGCACTCAATGCTTCATAATTTTCTCTGATTATTTTATTGGGTTTGATTTGTTTTTTACTGATTTTCTCATTGTTTGATTGATTTTCTGTCACTGTTTGATTGATTTTCTGTCACTGTTGGTTGAAACGGCGGCGAAGGGACAGGCTCAGCCTAAGCGACGACGGGAATGGTTTGACTTGGCGGTGCATGGGTTAGCTGACTCCCTAGGGTTTCTGGAAATCCCACAGTAGTTGGGCTTGCTATCTTGGGCCTTGGTGCGATTTTAGGGCCCGTTGATCTTTTGTAATTAGGTCTAGCTTGGGCTTTGTAATCTGGAAAAAAATAATGTTTATTATTTAATAATTAATATACAATAAAAATAAAAATGACTAAAAATTCAGACAAAAACGAGTGTGTATAAAACCTTAAACATAATAACCAACACATCTTTTCATTAAAACGCATGCATGGATAATATAATTTGAGGTTATGAATATGATAGTTAACGTTTTTGCGGAAGGTGGGTGGTCTTAATGAATGAATTTTCATTAGCAACATAAAATTTCTTTAAAGATTTCACCAGCATATAGAACCTTCAATTGAGTGGCATTATTTTGTTAGATTATTATTATTTCGCAAGGATATCTTAATTGGCACTGTTTGTTTTATTTGGATTAGGTGAAGTGAGGGGGGTTTCAGAGAGTAGCATGAGAGATGACAATGGGGAGCAGGCAGGCATGTTTGCAGAAGAAAGTATGGGGGTGAAGGGCACCAGTTGAGGCCACCATGTGTTTGGTGCAAAGGGTGTGAGAAATGTGATGGAGAATTTGCTTGATAGGGTTAAGTGTTTATAGAGGAAGGACATGACATAGGGGGCAAGAGGTTGGGGTTACATAGATATGCCACCGACAGTGACAATGTTATCAATTCATCAACCATCACCACCACACTACTACTACCCTTTGTATTTTGTATGTATGGTTAGGACAAGAAGATACATGGTAGTAGTAAAAGGACAGTAAAAATAAACACAATTATAAAAAAATATTATTGGAAAAAAAGGTATAGAGAGAATCCTGGGCAGTCAAAATAAACACAATTAACATGTAAAAGGACAGTAAAAATAAACACAATTATAAAAAAATATTATTGGGAAAAAGGTATAGAGAGACTCCTGGGCAGTCAAAATAAACACAATTAAAAAAATATTATTAGAAAAAGGTAGAGATAGACTCCTGGGGCTGGGGGAAACAGGCATGTGGATAACTGGGGGACACACCAAGACTCATCAATTAAACTCTCCTTAAAATGATTTTGAGACAAAAGATACAGGAAAAGGAAGCCACTCCCCGTTTTCTTTTATTTTTCTATCTTTCACTGCTTAATGTCTTTTATTTGCCACAATACTGCATTCTGTTTCTGGGGGGCGGTGTATGAAAAAGGAAAACCAAAAAGCATAAGCTTTTCCTGAGTAGATCTACTAACAAGTTTTCTATACATCCTGGTGGCCTTGGCTAAGCCTTTGTTTTTGTTTCTCTTTGAAGAAGCAAAGGGCTTTTTTTTCTTCTCTTTCTTTCTTTTTTTCTTTCTTCTTCAGTAAAAGGAATCATTGAAGATGCCTAGACTAGGTCCAAGACCGTATATCTGTGAAAGAAGAGCTTGGCACAGTGATAGACACCAACCCATGAGAGGTTCTCTCATTCAAGAAATTTTCAGGTCTTCCCCCCACTCTTACTTTTTGTATTTTTTTTCATGTAAATGTATTTCTACTAAGTTGTTTCCTTTTTTTATGTGTATTTGGATTTTTTAGAGTTGTTAATGAGATTCATAGCTCAGCAACTAAGAAGAACAAGGAATGGCAAGAGAAACTCCCTGTTGTTGTCTTAAAAGCAGAAGAAATTATGTATTCTAAAGCCAATTCCGAGGTAAATTTTTGCACTTTTTTGTTGAAATTCAGCACTGTTTATCTTTCTTCCTCTGCTATGCCATTTTAAGTTTCGCTGAAAAGGACAAGCCTTGATCATGATATTTTATGTTGTTTTTTGCTAATTGATGAGTTAAAACGTTCACAATTTTGTTACCTGTTTTTTGCTTGTATATCTGGGAAGCATACCAAGCATGTTTATAGTATTATCTTCTTCTTTAGGTAAAGGGATGAGATTGGTTATGTCAAACTCATATTTTTTTTTTTTGCAATCTAATTATTCCATAGGCTGAGTACATGGAAATTAAAACCCTCTGGGATCGAACCAATGATGCCATTAACACGATCATTAGGCTTGATGAGAGTACTGAAACTGGAGAGTTTATTCAACCTTGTATTGAAGGTACTCTCAATTTTGCACCTAATTTCCTCTGTTTGAATTTGAAGCCAAATATTTGCATATTTACTATTGGTTTTTTGTTGCTTCTGGCTTTAATTATGAACATAACTTGCTTCAAATTGTACCTTTTTTTTCTGAGATGTAATATTTCTATTTTATTGTTGGCTAGCTGCTCTTAATTTAGGCTGCGCTGCAAGAAGAACTTTGAGGAGTCAACGCAATTGCAGTCCGAGGTATTACCTTAACCCGGGCACACAAGAAGCAGGGAACACTACTCAAGGAAATCTCTTAACTAATTCACACTGCATGTCCGGTTATTCTGGATTCATAAAACATACAACCATGAATGTGGCACATATGGGCACTGATGCTCAGAAACACGTTGCTCAGATCGTTGACCGTGTCACCAACAAGTTCTCTTTTCCATCTAAGAATGGTTTTCTTCCTAGTAATGCGGAGAAGCATGCTCTAACTATGTATTCGGTTTATCCTCTTTTCTATGGGAACCACCCTAAAGTTGAAGAACTGCAGCATAGCTATGGAATCTCCCCGAAGTCAATTACCAACATAGTAGAATCCGATAAGATGGGTGTCATTTGTGACATCTTCTCTCCTGATGTGGACTCTTCGAGTAAGATAAACCAGACAGATGTTAGAAATATTTCTAACAATCCACATGAAATTACCTGTGATCTATCGTTGCGTTTGGGCCCCTTTCAACACCTTGCCTGAGTGCTGGAAACAGTCAACCCAAGGAAATTGAAAATAGTGGTTCCACCTTTCTAGAGTGGAACAGATTCAGTCATCTTACACCACCAATTGATAAAAGTTTATCTTCCTTTCGAAGGAGCAACCGAGATGCCCCCTTCAATTCATTTTCAAACAAATTGAGCCTTGAAGGTGGACATATGAATGTAGATGCAACATTGAGCAAACGAAAGGCAGTTTATGCTCCACCAGTCGATCAACGATTCTGTTTGCCTTAAAAGCTTCCTCGCTGCGATTTAACTGGAAGAATATAGTGTGTAGGATCCTAGATCGTCCTTTAAGACCATTAACTGTCTTGGTGAGTATGTGCTGCTGAAGCTCTTTTCCTTGTTTTGCCTTTTTTTGTAGTTAAAGTTATGTGTGGATGAGCAGTGTGTTAAAATGTTGCAAGAATGTTAGGGTTGCAATATGTGAATGAGTTTAGTTGGAATCACCAACAAAATGACTGAAGAGACTCTTGACCTGTGACGTACAAAGTATGTTGTCTTACATTTTTCTGCTTGTAGAAACATAACTCTTATCATGTTCACTTTTGATACACCATTCCATCTGTCTGGACCAAAATATATTTGGTAAAAACTCACCCTTTAAAAACAGTTAACTGGAAAAGCATGAGAATGTAAACTTAGCCGTATGCTTTTCGTGTGGTTGTGACACACCGACTTTATATTATCATGTATGATTTGTTAGATTTAAGATGAAGGGAAAATGTAAATAAATGTGAATCTGAAGAGAAAAATGTTGGTTTGTAGGACTAAGGGGACAAGGGTGTCTGCAAAGATCTAACCGGTATTATTTCGGGGTCAATATTCTTGATGCCTGATGTGTGGACCCTTTATGGTCGGTGTAATTAGGAAGGGTAGAAATCATTGATGGATGACTGGTGAGTGTGCTTTGTTTTTCGTTTCTTTTCTTTTGAGTTTTGGATGTAGTAGTGGGTTTGTGGCTACTTTTTTTTTAATGAGGTATGCTTTTTTTTTTGTATTGGCTGCTGCCAGTGGTGGGGTCAGACTCTAAATCTTTTTTGTTTTCCTTTGGTTTCATCAACCTTGAATGTGGTGGAGAATATGAACCTTTCTGGTGATGTTATTTTGTCTTAAAAAAAAGTTTAGGGTATCTAGTTTCTTGGCATCAGAGCTTGGAACCGTCCGACTCTTGTCCCTTAATCCATGAGAGGCTCCAATTGGGAACTTCTGAAGAGAGAGTATACAAGTTGTGCCTTATTCTCTTCCCAGTTATTTGATAACAAAATAATGAGAATCTATACAAACTACGTAAATTTCTATTACTATCACTCTTGGAGGATAATCTGTAAATTTTTATGTAAATCTCATTTGAGTCTTAGGTATGATATGGTTTTGGATTAGAGAGTCATCTTTGATCTAATCTTTTTTTTTTTTTTGTAAAAAACACAGAATAGAATAGAGATCAAATTCTAACACATTATAATCTCATTAACTTACGTGGCGAGTTGTTGAGAAAGCCTGATCTCCACCGTGCAGATTGGGCTTGCAAAAAATAATCTAGAAAAAACAGTAGGTATGAGGGTTTTGAATAATTGGGCCATTGGACTTGGTAATAATGCAAAGGTTCCATGGCAATTGGGAAACACTCACGTACGACGTTTTATTATACGGTTAAAATAAAGTGTTACCGGGTTTGTTATTATTTTAAATAACAAAAAATAAAAAAACCGGTAAAAAAATAACCTATAACATCATTATTTTAACCGGTTCTAATTACCTATATAGGTAAACACAGTAAACAAATTCGGTCAAAATAATAATGTTTTCGGTCATTTTTTTTTACCGATTTTGTTATTTTTCTACCCAAAATTCAAAACACGCATACAAGGGTTATCAACTTTGATTCACAAAGCTGAAGGTTTCAAAAGGTTTATAGCATTACCTAATGCATGCTTTTTGAACAAAAACCATTTTTTATGTTTTGTTTTGGGTTTTTTTTTCTTCAAACACGTCCACTAATCTTTCTTTCAAGCCAAGTAAAGACCTTTTGTCACCTGCAGCCTTCCTCAGTCTCCACCGGTTTGACCTTTTGGTCATGCCACCCTCCCTCACCGCGGTTGACTCTTCAACAAAAGGTTGTCAAAGATTTTCATGTCCATAATTATAAAATACTCTAATTAAAATAGAAAGATTAATTTCACGAAGTTATATTTAACAAAAACAATATATTTAATGTGAAAGTAAAGAAGAGTTGATTAGTGGTGATATGCATATACATATGAACACTCGACTTATCTTCAGAAATTAACGGAGTATAAAGTCTAAAGTTAACAGGTCCAAGTAATTTTGTGGTTTCTAGATGCTCTCCAATAATATAATGATTTCGTGGTTGTTGGGGTTCAAATAAGATGAGAATTTGATACACAGGAAGAAAAGTGACATCAACATGGTATCATAATGGATTTCCAACTCCAACAAGCTGCCCATATTCATGCACGATCGCCACTCGCCACTGAGTGCATGTGATCTGACGCATTTTTAACCTTAAACTTTGCAAAAGACAGAACCCCATGCACCGTGGTTGGGTAGTCACTCTTATCTAAAAATATAAAATTATCATATATTTTAGATTTTTTTTTATATATTTTATTAAAAATTTATTTCCACCTTTTAAAATTTTATATGTTTAAATTTACATCCCTTAACTTAAAATCATGCATCTATCCCTTCCTAATTACCTAACTCATGTCTAAACCCAGATTAAATAATGATGAGTAAAAGATAAGATTGATAATTAAGATGGATGTGAAATGATGGGAGCAGACCCGATATTAGCTCCATCATACATATCCATGCGAGAACCCCATGAGATGCTGTTTCTCTGCCACCGTGTGGCTTCATGGATCATCGATCGAGATTCAGGACAGATTACAGTATCAAAATCCCCATTGGTGCCACCTTACCCTCTTGTATTGACTTTGGCATCCAGCTACTAATAAATGGATTAATTTTATCCATGTAGTGATAAAAAAGATTAAATAAGGCTAAATTTTAATAGTGTTTGCGTCTACTATATATTTAATCTTTAATTTATTTATTTAATACATAGTTGGTACTGACATTTATGATCCATGTCAATTATTTCGTCAAGAGCAAGTACGAAAAACTATATAATAACAATGCTTTATTTTCTTTCTTTCAATTCCATGATAACCTTGTACAACTTTTGGTGGCAGCCTCCATTTTTCTTTTATAAAATTAAAAAAAAATACATTTTACAATCGGGCACGGCAACGACTAGTTAGTAAATATTGGTTTGTAAATTTCATCAAAGTCAGTGATCAAAATCCTTTAAATTATTCATTATAATTTTTATTTGAGTACGAAAAACTATATAATAACAATGCTTTATTTTCTTTCTTTCAATTCCATGATAACCTTGTACAACTTTTGGTGGCAGCCTCCCATTTTTCTTTTATAAATTAAAAAAAAATTTTTACATCGGGCACGGCAACGACTAGTTAGTAAATATTGGTTTGTAAATTTCATCAAAGTCAGTGATCAAAATCCTTTAAATTATTCATTATAATTTTTATTTGGGTTAACAAATTTCAGGATCTTCTCCACCTAACTCCACTGGGTTACAAGTTTTATTGCCTTTTGTTTAACCTAGGCTTAACTTAGTTAATTATCGACATATAACTTAAAATATTTATTATTTGATTTTATTTAAATTAAATCTGACTAAAAGTATAAAATGAAATTATGATTAATTCATATATTAGAATATGAATAATTTTATTTATTTTGCATATGAATAACTAATAACATGTTTTTCTTAATAAAATATTTTATATATAAAAACATTATTAACGGGTTATCGCAAAATATCCTTTTATATTTTTATTATAGTCTAAGTTGATATATCTCGAATATTATAGTATTAATAGTTCAAATATAATTCAAATACTATATTTTAAATTTACAACATAATGTCTAAATTTGACATTTTCACTATCAATATAATTAAAATTCTTTCATCACTAAGTATGATTAAGAAAATTTAAATAAAATTATAATATGTTGTATATTATTGTCATCGTGTCACCTTTAGTTTTTTATAGTCAACTTTCACTATCAATATAATTAAACTTCTTTCATCACTAAGTATGATTAAGAAAATTTAAATAAAAATATTATTCTATATTATCTCAACCAAAGAAAAGAATATTATATTTTCACAAATGAACCGAACAAAACTATTATTAAGGTTAATATATATTAAGTTGAAAACATTGCTCAGCTGATATTTATTAAAAAAAAGTTAAAAACTTTTTTATTTGGGATGTTTATTTGTATTGGTTGGGATTATTTTAATTAAAAAAAAATGAAGACAGTTATGTGTAGTTTTGTACATTCAACAGCCAACGGAGTTCCATCCCATGTTTTTGTGGCACGACACTTTTGACTAGTGCTTCTTTTCACTTCTCTTACATTCATTTATTGGATGTATCAACCCAACCCCACCCCATGCTTTTTGACAGTTTCTATATCATCTTTGGAAGACCAAAACATCAGTGAACACAAAATGAAAACAATTTTCTAAACCAATATATATATATATATATAAATACAACAGCTTGTATGGGATGGAAAAGGCAGCTCTGATCTCCCTTCAACTCCATGACAGAAGCAGAAACAGATTTAGGAAAAGGCCAGAGACCCATGTTTGCAGATGCACTTGTTTATGCAATCTCATCCAACAAAATGTGCGACCCACCCCTTTTCTTTCATCTTCGATCTTCTCTTCACTCTCTCCTTCATAGGTAATTGCTGGTGTAAACAGGGGAGTACTTCTGTTCTGAGTTCGCTTCTCCTTCTACTGATGTTTGCGTTCATCCAAAAAGTCTTCCTTTCATGGCAAGGTGAAGAGCATCCATCGATTCTAGTCGCTCGGGTCTTTTTGTAAATTCCATTTCATGGTTAAATGAAGAGTGCCATCACTTATAGCTGGCTCTTTTGATTCTCTTCCTTCAATTTTATTAATTTTTTTCCCGTTTGAGCTGGTGACAGATCAATAGTCTGGTTTCTCACCCCTGAACTGAAGTTTATGCTTTGTATTTCAAAATCCAGAGTTTGTTGAATATTTAACTTAAATATGTCTACATCTTCAAATCTGCTACCTCCATAGCTTAATGATGTTTTGAGAGGAGTTTAGTGGATTGATTTTCTGAAACCCAGAAATTATTGTTGACTAGAAAACCTGTTTTTATTTTCTATATATCCTCTTTGGTTCTAGCCTCTTAGGATAAAAAAATATTCTCTCTTTTTTTTTGGGTTATTTTGTTGTTGTCTGCTATGAAAACTCCTTGTTTTGGTTCTCAACTTGGTAGTTTTCTAATGGGAAGTAGGGGTTTTCTTCATTTGCTGGGATTTTTTGCACTCTCTGGCCTTTTCCTCTCTGAAATCTGTATAGCTAGCATTCGAAGAATTGGGTCGATTGAACCGGGTTTTCAAGGAACTCAAATGGATTGGATCGACAATGATGGGTTGTTTCTTGTATCTAACAACTCAGAATTTGGTTTTGGCCTCACCACTACCTCAGATGTCACATTGTTTCTCCTTGTTGTCGTGCACATGGAGACCACAAAAGTGATCTGGGCAGCTAACCGGAACGTTCTTGTTTCGAATTCTGATCCCTTTGTTTTTGACAAGAACGGCAACGTGTTATTGCAGAAAGGAGGAAAAGTTGTTTGGACGACAAATACCGGTGATAAAGGAGTTTCAGCAATGGTGTTGCTGGATTCAGGGAACTTGGTTTTGCAAGGGAATGATGGCACGCTAATATGGCAGAGTTTTGCTCATCCTTCCAATACCCTCGTTATGGACCAAGAGTTTAGAGAAGGAATGAGACTTGTAAGTGATTCTAGCCCCAGTAACCTGAGCTATATTCTCGAGATCAAGTCCGGCGACATGATTCTTTCAGCAGGTTACTCAACCCCACAGCCGTACTGGTCAATGGGGAAGGACACACGAAGAAACATTAATAAGAATGGTGGGGTGGTCACTTCAGCATCCATTGATAGAAATTCATGGAGTTAATTTGACGAAAGCAAAGCCTTGTTGTGGCAATTTACAATCTCGGATCCTACTGATGCAAACGCCACTTGGATTGCAGTGTTGGGAAGTGATGGCTTTATATCTTTCTTCAATCTCCATGCTAAAGGGTCAACGGCATCGACTAAGATCCCGGACGATCCTTGTGGCACACCAGAAGCTTGCCAGCCATATTTTGTTTGTTCAGGACCTTCAGGCAACACCAGATGCCAGTGTCCGTCACCGCTTAGTTCAAGCGCCTGCAAAACAGGCATTGACTCTCCTTGCAGTCAGGGAAAGGAATCTGTAAGCCTTGTAGATGCCGGAACCGGGCTAGATTATTTTGCAGTCAACTATGTTTCTCCATCGTCGAATACCGATATGAGCAGTTGCAAAGAATCCTGCTTGAGTAATTGTTCTTGTATGGCTATGTTCTATGAAAACAGCTCGAGGAATTGTTTCCTTTTTGACCAGGTTGGTAGCTTCCAAAACTCTAACCAGGGGTCTGCTTTAGTTGCTTTTGTCAAAATGTCAAGCAATGGAAATGGTGTAGGGGATGGCGGCGGCGGCAAGAAAAGCTTCCCATATGTTGTGATTATAGCTGTAACTACGGTTCTTGTCAGTTTGGGCTTAATCTTTGTGGCATATCGATACTACAATAGGAAGAAGAAAATGCCTGGATCTCCTGATGATACCTCAGAAGAGGATAACTTCTTGGAGGCATTAACTGGGATGCCAACTCGTTTCACTTACAATGACCTTCGGACCGCCACTAATAACTTCTCGGTTAAGCTCGGGCATGGAGGATTTGGCTCAGTGTACCGAGGGACTCTTCCGGATGGAACTCAAGTAGCTGTGAAGAAACTGGAAAACATCGGTCAAGGAAAGAAAGAATTTCGAGCTGAAGTCGGTATTATCGGCAGTATCCATCACGTGCACCTGGTGAGATTGAAAGGATTTTGTGCTGAAGGAAACTATCGACTTCTTGCTTATGAATACATGGCAAATGGTTCCTTAGAAAGATGGATCTTCAAGAGAAACAGAGAAGATGCGCTGCTGGATTGGGGAACAAGATTCAATATCGCAGTAGGAACAGCTAAAGGGTTAGCTTATCTCCATCAAGATTGTGATGCAAAGATTGTGCATTGTGACATAAAGCCAGAGAATGTATTGCTTGATGACAATTTCCTAGCCAAAGTCTCGGATTTCGGCTTGGCTAAGCTGATGACTCGAGAGCAAAGCCATGTTTTCACCACCCTAAGGGGCACCAGAGGGTACCTTGCACCCGAGTGGATCACAAACTACGCGATATCAGAGAAGAGCGACGTTTACAGCTACGGCATGTTGCTATTGGAAATCATCGGCGGAAGGAAAAACTTCGATCCTGGAGAATCTTCAGAGAAATCCTATTTGCCATCCTATGCTTTCAAGATGTTAGACGAAGGGAAGCCGGGAGATATCCTTGATTCGAGGCTGACCATAGCAGGGGAAGATGAGAGAGTTTATACTGCAATCAAAGTTGCATTATGGTGCATACAAGAAGATATGCATTTAAGGCCATCCATGACAAAAGTCGTTCAAATGCTAGAAGGTCTCTCCCAAGTTTCAAAGCCACCAATGTCATCTCCATTAGGATCTCGCCTTTATTCGAGTTTCTTCAAATCAATGACGATGAGCGGAGAGGGCACGTCCTCGGCATCAGCCTCAGCACCATCGGACTGCAACAGCGATGCTTATCTTTCGGCTGTACGGCTTTCTGGTCCAAGATAACAATCACTTAAACGAGTAGAGGTTACTGGAATTATTCCATAGATTTTTATTATCAAATATGTTAAAAACATCTCATCTGGCATGTATATTTATTAGATTATTGTTAATTTTTTTTTGTAACATCAGCTATTAGCTATAATACAAGTCAAGGCCTAGTGTTGATTATAACTCTCCGGAATTATTTTTTTATGGGTCGTTGAAAAAAATTATTGGCACGTGGAGGGTCTCGCCCAAATTATTTTTGGAGAGGGGTGAATGTTACGGTACTCGTCCGAGGACGCCAGGATCGTCATGTGTCATTGGAAGATGCAACGACTGCAATGCGTCTCATACCTTCTTATTTTGAAAGTCTTGGAATTGTAGCCAAGGATTTAAATAGCGGTCGCAGTCGCGTCATATTTATCGTGATTGTAAACATAACAGATATCATCGTGATCATTGCAGGTATCGCAGTTTTGAATTTTTTTTAAATTTCGCACAACTTATCTTAAAAAATAATAATTATAATTATAATGAGTCATTTTTAATGATGTTTAAAATGTTTTCTAAACGATAATTAAATATATATAATATAATTTAACAAAATAGAAGACATAAAAAACCCGATGATAGGATAAGATAATTAATGATGAGTTGATGATATTGTGAATACATTATTATTTAAAAGAAATAAGATATTCAATCATTAAAGTAAGAACGCATAAGTATGATGTATAATAAATAAAGCAACAACACGACTAAATTGAATAAAATATGATATATTGAATAGAATTAAAATAGAAGTATAAACTTAAAGAACACAAACTTATGACTAAATTAATTAAAAACTAAAGTTTACATTCTAAAGTAATAATTAAATTATAAATTGTAAAAGGTGAGATGATTGATAAATTAATCTATCCCTTAAAAATATATTTAAGAATTTATTTAAAAAATAAAAAGGGAAACGGGAAATGGGAGTGGGCGACCGTATATACTTACTGTTTTTTTGAATTAAAAACCAAACATAAAAACTAAAGAAATTTCCAGAAGCTGTTTAATATTCTAATATAATTCTCTTCAAGTCTCTACTTCTAGGTCTCCTCACTTTCAAGTTTCACCCTTTTGTTTTTCACAGGAACGTCCACTCTACCATATTCTTTATTGGCGACGAAGTTTATCAGACTCAAGATTTTCCCCAAAACAGTTTTGTTTTACCAGCTTGTCGCCTTTCCGGTTTGATCTTTGCCTTGGTGAGTGGTGAATGGTGAGTCTTGCCCGATGATGTGCTCTCTATTTTTTTATAGTTTAAAAGTTTTTTTGGGTGAGAATTCTAGCATTTTTTTACGTTTTTTACCCGATGGTGAGTCTTCCAAGTTCGATCTTTGCGTTTTTGGATGAGAATTCCAACTTTTTTACATTCTTTTTTATTTTTTTCATTAACGGTTGAAAAACGGAAATAGTGTCCTATTATCGGCGCTATCCACCTTTACCCCGCTAATTTGAGGGTGCGATGAACCACTATCGACGTGAATCTGCTATCCACCGCTATACTAGTTAATATCGTTTCAGACCACGACACAATTGCAAAATAATGGGCGTTGTTGCTTTTGCGTTCCGTTATTTTAATCCTTGAGCACTTACCAATGAGGCCCTATCGATTAGTATTACACAAAAGAAATCAATTATAAACACTAATACAATTAGACCTACCAATCATAGACAAACTTGGGATTTGTGATCCCAGATAAGATCGGTTCAGGATCATGTGATCCTTTTCTATCATATAGGAAGGGTTGTTGTACAAAATGTACTTCTAAGTAATTTCCCTTTAGATCCTATATCTATATATACGAAGAAGAAATCATGTAACGAAGGGGATTCTTATTTGTACAAATGATATTTCGAGCATGGAACGAGCATGAAGAAATTAACAATACTTCTTTATCTTTTGAGTTGTTTTGTCAGATCGGTCGCTCAAGACCTTTGATCTCTACCCAGACCCGATGAAAAAAATGGGATCACTTCTTATGGTTTCGTTGAGAATGATTCTAATCTAGTTCATGGACTATTAGAAGTAGAAGGTGCTCTGGTGGGATCCTCATGGACAAAAAAGATTACGGTCAGTTTGATAATGATCGAATGACATTGTTTCTTCTGTTTGAATTGGGGAATCCCTTATATATGATGCAAAATAGATATTGTTCTATCGTTGATCAGAGAAATCTCTATGAAAAATACGAATCGGAGTTTCAAGAATACATAAATAAAAAAATAATGAACTTGCAAAATTGACGTGTTTATCATAAAGAGAATCGTTGTTCTTGACCCTGCTTCACCTTAATTGCTATTTGAACAAGTCAAAGTCATGTCTTGCTCTAAGTGGGGATATCATTTCTCTTCTGCATGTCCATGGAGTTTTGAAATATCCAAACATCTCAGAGATAAATAGAGAGGTAAGAATTTATCAACGAACTGCATTCTTTCGTATACGTCAGGAGTCTATTGGTGAGAAGGGGTTGGGGAAAGCTTGAACCCAATTCCTACAGTGATGAATATAAGCGCAATTGAAATTCCTAGGGAGTTATACATTTGTGTATTGATAAGACCATTCACTATTTCTTGAAGCTCGGTCTCTACCCCAATGAACCATAAAGTTAAGAGAAACCATGAACCATAATAGAATAGCTTGCCCACCCATGAGTAAATATTTTGTAGTAGCCTCATTAGACTGTACATTATTCTTGTATATCCAGATAATAGGTAGGAGCATAAATTGAAACATTCTGGAGCTACAAAGATAGTTACTAAATCGTTAGCACCGCATAAAAACATTCCTCCTATCCCCTTCCCCTGATTCCGCCTACCTATATGAGATATTTTAAGAAATGAACATCCTTATTACTAGTAGGGTCTGGGGAAAGAATATGAAATGTGATTTCGCTATATTTTTTACCAGGAACAGGACCTATCACAAGAATATTTTTCTTAGTGTGACGATAGTTCTAGAAAGACAAATTGCCTATTTTTTTCTTTCATCTTGGGCGAGATACGATCAGGAGAGGCTAACTCAAACCCCTTCGATAAAATAAGAACAACACCCACGTTCAAAGCCCCTTTCTTACCATTAGCAAGAACTTCTTTCAGTTGCATATCATAAGGAATTCAAACAACCGCTTCAAATACAATATCAAGAAGTACTGCTTGTGAACCTCAATATATACGGGCTTATTAGCTAAATGACAATTGGCACATACAATACGCCCGGTTACTTCTCGTGATTTTCATACCCTTTTAGTGCAAAAATGGGATATGCATTTGAAATAGATGCCCGATTATTATATAGATCATGAGCGATACGAAAATGGATCGAGTAATCTCATTCTTTATCGCAGAAAAAAGTATTTCTAGTTGCATGGTCCAATAATTGATCCCGCAAATTTCTACAATAAAATTAGGTAGGTCACTAGTATAGTTCCATATCCACGATTCTACTATTTACTTTTACTGAAATACTTAAAACTGAAAAAAAATGTCTGAAATAGAGGAGTCTCCTTATGGGTAGAAAGAGTAAAATAAATACGACTATGCATGCTTCACTTATATAGAAAGTAAGGAAATATTATAATTGAATCCGTGAATCATTTTTCAGTCATTCATTGAATTATAAATAACTACAAGTGACGAAGATACACAATTTAAATAACGAAAGATCCAATATTTAAAAATTGTATCTAGAATGACAGGAAAGGTAGAAACAAGACCTGATATAGTTTGATCATTATGAGCAAAAATATTTGTAGATATAGCCAATCATTAGTTCTCGGCGAAGGGATTTGATACATAAATATGTTAATAAAAGAATAGAAAAAGATTTTATTGTGTCGCTTAAATTATATATGAATTCTTGAACCCAAGAGTTAATAATAAGAAGTTTTTATTCTCTAAAATAGACTAACCATGTAACATCCTCAATACCGGGTTAGTGACCAAATTATAAAGTTTCAGAAATTGGTGATTAAAGTAGGATAATTGAATAGTGCAATGATTTATTGGAAATATGATGAAGGTTATTCAGTAATTATTAAAGGAAATAAAGGGTAAATTGGTCATTGGATCAGAAAGATATTTATCTTTCTTTTAAGGGTTATAAAACACGTGGGATATGAGATAATTATCCAGAGTCTTCTTCTCCAGCTTCTTCTCTCCCGTAAGCCTCATTTAAAGGTGAGTTTAATTTAAGTTGTTTAATTCTTGGATTTATAAGTTGATTTTGATTCTTGGAGTATATAAGCTTAAGGAAAGCTTATATAAGCTTAAAACATCAAGAAGAGAGAATGAGAAAGGAATTTCTATTAAAAGATTAGAAATGAACTTTTGATATAGAAAGGTTTTTGAAATTCTAAGGATGAATTTGACTTGTCAATGGTTAAATTAAGAGATTTGGAGTGATAGAATTGGATTTAGATCATATAGAAAATTTGGTATGATTCTTGAATCTCATAAAGAAGATAGGATTTTGAGGATAAAGATGATTTACATGGATATAAGTTGGTTCAAGTTATAGTAGTTGAGTTTAATGTCAAAATAGGGGCTTAAAATAGAAGAATTAAGGGAAGAGTTGATGATTTACGTGTTAAAATGTCAGTTCTGGGCAATGTGCATCGATGCACATTCATTGTGCACCGATGCATCGATGATAAATACCAGAAATTGTTTAAGGTGCATCGATGCACATGCAGTGCATCGATGCATGATTTTAAATAGAAAACATCGAATAGGATTTATGCATCGATGCATAAGGAGTGCATCAATGCATCCCCATTAAATAAAAACATCGAATGCATTTTATGCACCGATGCACAAGTAGTGCATCGATGCATACATTCATTGAAAGAGGAAATGGGCTTTTCTCTTAGCCTAAGAAGTGACAGTTTAGAATATATCAATTGGATTATTGATATGAATCTGTGTATTGTTATGTAGAGATAGAAAGTGATCCGTTTCGGGACAATTGAGGAATTAGAATCGAATCAAAGCAAAGCTAAGGTGAGTGCAATTTATTTTGTACTTATTTTATTGAATTAACATTGGCTTGTGAGCCAGTGATGGAGTTACTATGGTAAGAAGTAACTTCTAAATTGTTATGTGATTACCATGTATGCATTAATACATAGAAATAGATGGATGCTATGTTATATGATTTATGCTTAAGTGGAAATGCAACATATGATATATGTTATTTGACATGACATGCATGGTTACATGAAAGAAAGCTATGTGACTACATGTATATGTGAAAGAAGCTATAAGCTTATATGCACATGTGATATACGTGATATGAATTACATGAAATGATTTACATGAATACATGTATTATATAATACATGTGATGATATGAGATATATGGTTACACATACATGTGATATGTGACAGAAGAAAGAACAAGTGATACGAAATGTATAAATAAATGCCCATATATATACGAGAGCTATAGGTATAGTTGGCATGCCAAGAGTCGAGGGTTTTACCTATGTCTTTCGAGACATATGGACAATATACCTATGTTCTAAGGAACATATGGACAGTTACCTAGGTTCTTTGGGACCTATGGACAGTTGCCGAGGTTCTTTATGACCTCTGGATAGTTACCGAGGTCTGTGTGACCTCTGGATAGCTCATTCGGGACATTTATACGAGCTGTGGTGACAGTATTAGTGCACAACCTCAGTGTACTCACATACCTCTATTCTCATAATATCATGGGCAATGAAATTGAAAGACAAATGAAAGTGAAAGTGATAAAAGAAGGTAAGTTGCATGTGTGCATGACCTGATTGTATATTGTTATCATACCATAGATTCATGCATATTGATATGTAGTGATTCAATGATATGAATGCACATACATGAATTATATGTGTTATATGATATATGGTAAGGGGAAAGGATTATTGATAGTGTTTGTATATATGTCTTTATTTATATGAAAATATGGTTATATTATATATTTTATATGCCTCACTAAGTCTATGACTTAGCGTGTAAGTGATTTACACGTAGGTACCAAGAACGAGAAGTGAAAGAATAGAAGTGGCAAAGACAGTATCATTACTAAAAGATCAGATCAAGTATTTGACAAAGTATGTATTGGTTATGTATAAAGTGTTGGCATGTAATAAGTCATTAAGTACGAGCACTCTGATCAAGTCTATTTTGTTTTAAATAAAGTTTTAAATTTCCCGGGATTTTTCTTAAGAGTCCACAATTTTTGTAGATGTGTTTCCGAGTATTCTTTTACCATTTCGTACAACAAGAAGAGTTCCTCTACTTCTATGAATTGTTCTAGAATAATATTTTCTTGAACATCATTCAAAAAGGTTTCGAATTGCCTAATATTCCACCAATTAGTAATCCAAGATTTTAGATTTTTATTAAATGAGAAAGATCCACCAAAGCAAAAATACTATAGATGCAAAAATACAACAGGAAGAGTTCCTCTGTTTTTTTATTCAGTGTTTAGTCCCTGAATCTAAAAAGAATACAAAAATAGAAAATAAGAATCCACTTTGAATTCAAATGTTCGAATGAAATATGTATATTATTGTTATATTGATATTGTTATTGTTTTCAGAGATTACGCTTCGACTCTTGCAAAGAACAGACTAACATGGTCAACCACCCAATTAATCCTCGTACTTACATACCTTTACTATATAAGATAGATCTCATTGTGAAAGATCTATTACTGAAATATTTATGAGTAGAGCCGAAGGGTGTGAACTGTATAAGTTACCAATTAAATGAAGAAATGGGCTATGGTGTATAGAGAGGGTCTCACTGTTTAAGAAATGAATAATTGGGAAGATGTATTAGAGAGGTCTCACTGTTTAAGAAATGAATAATTGGGAAGATGTATTGTATTCTCGGCGTCTTTCCCAGTATTGTAACATTCACCCATCTCCGAAAATAATTATGACGAGACCGTATACGAGCCAATATTTTTTTTTTCAACTCCGTTAGAAAAAATTGGCCTAACTCTCCTGGTCTGGCGGCCGTCAATGGTGAGTGCAAAAATTATTATTATTAATAAGATTATTAAAGTTGTTGAAATGATGAGATCATTAGGCTTGGGTAAAATTAGTAATAATATACAAGGTTGAAGATAGACTCCAACCAGCCATCTTTATCTTGGCTTAAAAGCCTTGCCATTTAGGTGATTCAGTTTATTAAAGCAAAGCAATGACTCTTGAGTTTGACTCTAATCGGTTTTCGCTACATTGCATTATGATTATCAAAGTGTCGCTAAAGTTAAATTTTTTTATTTATTCTACCAAAGAAAGAAAACACACACGCTCTTGGACAAGATATAGTGTAATTTGTAGGTAAAGTTTGTCCATTATAGATTATGAAATGTTTTATTTATAAATTTTAAATACAATCAAAATATGAAATAGATAAGAAATTATTTAATCAACCATCATATGATACAACAAGATGAGATGTTAGGTCTCTCAAGTACGACAAAAAAATTTAAATTCTAACGTTGGAAGAGTAAATTGAGTCGAACAAATCATTCATAATGATCTCTACAATATTATATTCAAATTAGCAGATCAATGAGTTGGCATCAATGATTATAAAAAATTATTTAATTAAAGAATTCAAAATTTGAATCTTTATATTATAAATGAAACAAACTAATTTTTTTTATTAAGTTAAGGTGATTATAAAGTAGTATATGTTCTAAATACTCTCGATCATTTGACAATGAGCGTTAAATCATTCCTTTAATTACTGAAGTAAGTTGTTTCGTACAAAATAAATTAATTTAAAAATTAACTCATTATATCTTTATAATATTCTATCTGAATAGGCAAAAAGGTATTTTAAATCATTAGAGATGATCAATTAATGGATCTAATAAAAAAATATTTCTTAGAATAATATGGTTAAAAATAAGTAATGGGGGGAGTGGGAGAACATATTTAGTTACTTTAACCGTCCGTAATTCTCCGAGGGGAAAAAACCGTATTTTTGTTAATCTAAAGGGGGGGGGGGGAACGTATTGTAATGGGGAGTGTTGTTTTCCTTGGAACAGAGTTTACCTGGAAATGGATTTGAAATCCGCTCGTATAAAATACCCTTCAGCCTTCAAAGAAATAATATTCGTACAACTATCACAGAAAAGGGGAAAAAAGTTCAAATTCCAATTAAATTTTAAATCAATAAAATTTTGAAGATCTTCCTGTTTAGGGGCTTAGATCCTTTACTCTTCACTGTTTGCCTTACTATCTTCCTTTTACTCAGATCCTTCGCATTTTCTATACTAATTTCTCTCATTAATCTTCTTCTGGGCTTCATGGAGTGTTGATTTATCGCGCGCTTTGTGAGGTAAGAAAGAAAACCAGAACAGATCTCTTTTATTTTTCTTTTCTGAATTTATTATCTGTTTGGTTCCTTTCCTAAGAAAGACTGAGGAATTTCATGTTTATTATTTGGTAAAAGTGGATAAATATGAAGCGAAATGTGTTGTTTGGTGGCGTTGTAGATCTCTGTGCTCATCGGAGCTTTGCTTTACATAAAGTCATTTTATTTTAACTCGGTTTTTTACTTATTAGATTCCGCCTTTTCTGCGCTTTTTTTTGGGGGCTTTTTGTTTGCTATTTTATGTGCAAATAATAGATCTAATTTACTGTTCTTTTGGCGCATTTTTCTTGAATGTTATATCAACAATGAATATTATAAACAGTTAGAAATTTTACAATATCCATATTTGATCTCTTTGAAAACTAAACATTGTTTGGGGGGAATAAAAAAGAAAAAGCGTCAACCAATCGGAGAGATATTTATCCTTTATGAAGCTGAAATAGATAGACGTGGAAAGACATAGACCAATTGAAATTTGTATTGCTCCAAGGGTTTTGAGAGATTTTAAATTAGGCTCACATTTTTGTTTGTTTTATTTTTATCAGATTGATGGATTCAGAAAATAACTTGTCTTCCTTTGGGCTTGAACCTGCCCAACAAAATGGTGTTTATCCACAACTTCGGGTGCCTGGGGATGATACTGGTTCAGATAATGTGTGTGGAAATGTTGAGGAAACCATTGAAACCTATTTGCAGAATGGAATGGATGACAATGGAGCAACTCAGGAAGCTAGAGAACGATTAAATGACTTGGTGGATAGCAGGGGATTGATTGATTCTGAGGTATTAAAAGTCTGATTATTCGAGTGCTTTTATTAATTAACATTGGTTTGATATCATATTCAGGAGTGTCTGTATTTGTAGGAACAAGAAATAAAAGATAATGTGAAGCAATCCAAACCTCAAAAGGTTCAAGGCAAGACTAAGAATGAGAAGCCATTTGGTCCCAAAACTGTTCATTCAGCTTTGGCGAAGAAAACCAAAGATGGAAAAAGTGCAGAGGTGAAATTAAAACTTTCAAATTGTGGTTCTGTTGCTACAAGTTCAGGTCTGAGTCTGCCTCAAAAAAACAGACCAGTTAATGAAAGACAGGCCAATGCATCTAAGGTTAGAGTTGTTACCATTTCCTTTTCTGATTGTTTTCCTTTTTCCCTTTTTCAATTATTGTTCCTGCCTTTTTGATTATTGCTTTTCTCCTCTCATCTTCCTACAGCAATCTGAAACCTCTGATGCAGCCTTCTCTGAAGGAACTACGTATGTTCTACTCGTGCTTATGCTTCAATTTATTAGCTTTCCGTTTTTTCATAAAGCCTTTTTGCCTTTATTATTGATTTCATTATCCAACTGAAGGGGGAAGTTCATAGTGATCACCTTTTATCTGTATATTTTCTCCTGAATCTTTATTGCTAGATGATGACAGTTTGTTCTCCTATCATTGTTGAGTTGTTCTATTGAATTACAGGGAGAGATCCAAGCTCAAGCCTCTCAAGAAAGAGCCTGTTACTAAATCTGAAGCAGACTCAGAGTCCTCGTATCCATTCTAGTTTGAATGTTTTTTGCATTACTTTCTGACTGGGACTGAGGTTTGAAATACGTTGATACTTGAGTTTCATTGGCACTGCACTCTATAGGCTTCTATTCACCATGTTTATGTTTATCCTTAATTGCTTCATAGAACTCCCACTTCAACTGATGCCAAACCTCGTAGGGTTGGTACTCTTCCAAATTATGGTTTCAGTTTCAAGTGTGGAGAACGGGCTGAGAAAAGGAAAGAGGTTGGTGCTTCTATTATGTTCTCAAGATATATTGTGTATTCCTGCAGCTCTTTAACTGAGGTCTTCAACATTGTATTGTGCAGTTCTACACTAAACTTGAGGAAAAGATTCATGCAAAGGAAGTAGAAAAGAGCAACTTGCAAGCTAAGTCCAAGGTGTTATTTTGTGAATCTGATGGTTTATGATCCAGAATTCATTCTTTCTTTTCATAATAATACTTCAATTTTCTCCTAGGAAACTCAAGAAGCTGAGATTAAGATGTTTAGGAAGAGTTTGCACTTTAAAGCAACTCCATTGCCAAGCTTCTATCAGGAACCTCCACCTTCTAAGGTGGAATTAAAGAAGGTTAGTTAAATTTTCTGAGAGTAAAATACTAGATGACCATTTCAATAAAGAAATTTGCATGAGAAAAAATATCTCGATATTTCATTTTTAATGACAATGGCATGTATATTCATTCATATTATTTTGTTTATTATATTCTTTTGGGTAGGGTAGGGCTGAAATGCTGAACATGCAGGTGCCTAGGTTATTTTCAAGGTTTTAGCTTTAGGTTTGCCACCTTTCCTGTTGTACACATTTCTTATTCAGCCATTTGCATGTCTCTCCTCATCATCCTACCAGAGCCATTTTCTTTTCTGCAAAACTCTGTTTTACATTGTTGAGTTGCAATTTTTATTTCTCCTTTCTCAACTCAACTGTCGTTGTTAGTTGTAGTTGATACATTTAGCTTTCATGGATGACTTTGAACTGAACTGCTTTAATTTGCTTTGGTCCAATCCTGACCTGACAAGCCAATTATTTGTGCTTTCCTGAGTGTGTGGACACATTAATCATTTTATGATAATATATTTCATGCTGTGTTTTGACCTACACTTGTTAACCGTATTATGATTTTATTTCTATTTTCCTATTCATGTGGCTGCATGGAGTTTCCCAAGATTATGCAACATTGATATTTTTTTATTGCCTTGATGCAGATACCAACAACAAGAGCTAAATCTCCAAAGCTTGGTCGAAGAAAAGGCACAACTCCTTTAAACTCTGATGGTAACAGCAATAGTGATCTTCAATTAGGCCGGCTAAGTTTGGATGAGAAAGCATCTCCGAGTGTCTCCTCCAAAGTAATTTCTCCTGTCCATACAAAAAAGCCGCAACGTAAATCACTTCCCAAATTGCCTTCTCAGAAGACTAGCTTGCCGAGTGCAAAAATAAAGGAAAATATATCTAAGGAATCCAATCAGATATCTCTAACTGAATCTAAAGCAACTACCGAGGGAAAGATAGACTCAGGCTCATCTAAGGTGACAAACAAGGAGAATGCAACCTTATCTAATGTGACAAATGAGGAATTATCCCCCGCTCAACAGCGGGGGTCGGTTTCTGGAGCTGATTCAGGTGGAAGTCAGCCTGACACTGATCAAGGGCTGGTGATCGGAAAGCAAGGACAGCTGGGGTTGGAACAATAGCTCTATTGCACTGAGCATGGATGTTCATGTACAAAGCTGTTGACCCCCTTTGTTTTGCGTAAATAAGAATGATGTCTCAACACTGAATCATTTGATGAATCGTGGCATGAAAAATTCCACATTATGGGTTATGATGTCGTCTTCTCCAAATATATTCAGCAGCAGCTTTGGTTGTTTCGTGTGTCAGCTTTGCAAAGCTTGTTGTTAGGATTGGTTCTCTCCTGTTTCACCCAACTCTGTCAATCCACCTTTACTACCAAGTTGTTCCAATACATGTTTTCACTTTTTAAGGATGGTTTATTGAATATATATATGGAAATTTTGGGGTAGTCTGATGATACATGATCCAACAGGGTGTATCCAAACCAAATGAAAACTTAGTATCGCTAGTCATATGCTCGGATTAAACTCGAGTCTTCTTGCGTGCCATGAATATGCCTTTGTTTTTTTTATAAATTTAGAGCCTACATTATTTGCAGACTATGAGCATCGGCCGATCAATCAACTTTCAGGTGGGGGGGGGGTAAATGGTTTTAATTCACTACATTATTTGTAAATAAAAAATATTTTTTATTCAAGAATAAATATCTGATATATTAGTGACTTGATATTTGTTTAAATTCCGTAGGTTGGGTTAAAAGTTAACAATATTCTTAATTATATTTTAAAAAATAAAAAGCATCGAGACATGGTTTAATAAGTAGAGTTACAGAACTCTACCATGAATATATCAAATAATCATAAATAAAGTATAAAATAATTTTTCCTCTATGAAAAAGAAATTTAAATGCTTAAAATATTTAAATCTCACAACAATCAGGCCCAAGTGAAGAAAAATCCCTTAATTCTATTTTTGGCACGATTTGACATATCACATTGATGATCAATCATACGTGATTATCTAAAACAGTAGGCATTTGGAGATAAAGCTATCGACTATTTAAAGACAAAATGGAATCCACAGAGTCTAACTTCATATAATTGGGATGTTGAAACATAATTGATTAAAAAAAAATCATGTTTCCACCTTTATCGGATACTCTGTATATAATTTTTTCCCGTCTTTTGTTGCCTTCTGATATTCATCTAAATAGATTTATTTTTCCTTCAACATGCTTGAAGCATTAAGTTATAGATCATTCACAATCAGCAGAGCTCACAGGAAGTCAGATCAAAGCAGCGATCATCATTTTTTTACATGCATAAAGTAAAATCACGTTTTATTGAATACGGGCAACAGAAACATACAAGATTTCCAATGACGGATTTTAATACTCGTTACATTGTTGAGAGAGGTTACAAAGTACAGTTCAGAGCACAGATGAAACCAGCAAAACTAGGGCATGGTAAAAATAAAAAAACCATTCAATCGGGATTTGACACGTGTCAGCACGCATGACACATGTCAATACATGATTGGAGATTTTTTTTATTAATTAAATATTTTTTTCAATCAAGAGGTGACACGTGTCACCAACCAATTGGAAAAAAATAAAGGGATGAAATTGCTCTTGGGTGAAATCGGACTTGGGACCAAATGGATGCATAAACAATGCCCCAACCATTGCACCAAACATCCCAATGATTTATTACTTACAACAAATTGTATTTATCCTTTTAAAGCTCGATAATGATAAATGAAAATAGAAATAAAAATAAAATAGAATTAATTTTTTTAATATTTGATTCAAGTTAATCTATTAATAAAATAATTACTGTTGATTATAAAAATTATTTTTTAAATACTTTACATCAAAATTATTAAAAAATAAAAAAATCTATGTATTTCTTATTTTTAAAAAAAATACATTTTATCCCCCTTTATTTATTAATAGATTTTTAATTTGTTTATGCATCCATTTGGTCCCAAGTTTGATTCCACCTAAGAGCAATTTCATCCCATTTATTTCATATCCAATCGGTTGGTGACACGTGTCTTGATTAGATAGAAAAATTATTTAATTAAATAAATTTAAATTAATAAAAAAAATTACAATCATGTATTGACATGTGTCACTAACGATATGTATCATGCTCCTCTGCTGACACATGTCAAATCCTAATCGAATGGTTAATTTATTAAATTTAATTTAATTTATGACCAAATTGAGAAATATTAAGGACTAAATGTAAAAATATATCAATTTTTTAACTACTTCGTCCGCATTTATGAATGCTGTCAAATATTAACGGCTATTGGTTTGATTAAACAAATTAAATAGTTAAGTGGTGTGATTGATAAAATTGAAAAATCGGTGACAAAAGTAAAAGAACTAAATAGTTAAGTGGTTAACTGAGTAGTTTACTCTTTTTTTATATTCTTTTGTGTTATAAGTTTTAAATCCCCTATGAGCCCTCCATTTTTTTTAGAATCCTCGCTTCTTCTCTCGTGTATATAGGGATTAAGATTAGATTTAAAATTTATAAAAAAAGAAAATATAAGCAATAAAGTGGCATATGTTATACATATTAATTTTTTTGACGATTTAACAAATGCAATTCCTTCTTATAGGTAAAATATTTTATACTGTTCATATAATGCATTATCAATGGCAAATTAGGAATATATGTTCTTTTGAGATTAAACTGTGGGTTAGTTTAGAAAATGAGAAAAGGGGTATTAAGTATGGGTCAAAAGAACAATCTTATTATTGTTGTTTATTTATCATAAAAAAGTAATATTATTATTTGGGTTTGGGTGTGTCAATATAATGATTTAGGGGGAAATAAAGCGGAAATTTCTTAATTTGATCTGCTTTGATTAAGTTTTTGTTTAGATGAATTTGGTGGCGTACACATGTGAGCAAGATGGACACGGTAATTTATGTCGGGGTGTGAACTTAAGAGATTATATTTAAAAAATTTCTGGGGTGCGAAGTTATAAAATTTTAAGGGATGTGAAATTGACTAATCAATATAAAATACAAAGAAAAAAACTTGAAATATAAGAGAATTTCAAATTTTCCAGGGGTGCGATAGCAACCCCAACACCCCTCTCGATCTATCCCTGCATGCGAGTTTCTGTTATTGCAACCATGCTTGCAATATTAATATATAAATTACTTAAATAATCATTAAATTATAAAGTTAATTTTATTTTAACCATCAAGTTTTACATAATTGTTTAGGTTATTGCCATATTATCAAGTTAAATGTGAAACGCATTTGGTCAAGTTGCTTTAGTTGAATTAAGGGTTAGATTGTCTGGTGATCAAGAAGTTTCCTATGGTTTCTCGACACGAAAACAACACCTTATAAGGTAAACTGCCATGGATTTAACCTTTAAAAAAACCACATCTTTACCTTAACCTTTTCATACATGTAATCTGGTGTTTTGTCTTTTCACGTGTAAAAGTAGTAGATGTTGTCGTGAGTTGCGTAAATATCCACTGATGATACAACTGGAGCCAGGAGACAGGAGGTGCTGTTGATGTTTGATCACATTGGGCATCGGACAACTGTTATGGTGTTTTGAGATACAGTGGGCTGCACATAAGGCGCTTTTAAGGGGTTATTGATGAATACCGCACTGGGACCAACAAAAACGCCAAGAAAACTAACAGAGAATTACTGGAAACAGTGTAATTTTTTTTCTTGCCAATCTGAAAGGGACTTGTTGTAAACTATATTTTATTGAAGAACAATCCAGCAGAGAAGAAGAGAATAGGACAATTCAACGGACAATCCCAGAAAATTCTGAGAAAAAGTATTTCCTCTTCCAATCTTGTAGCTCTGTTTGCATCATCCAGCTTAATTTTTATAAGCCCTCTTGCTCCCAAATTTCAACTAGCAAATCCACCATTTCCTGTCACAGTTGACCCAACAAGGAGGATGAACAGTTTATAATAACGTCACAAAATAAAAAAAAGGAATAGAAAACTTACAGAAAGCGGAATCGGGTGGGGGAATGGCTTATAATCCCCATGTAAACTCTCGTAGATTGTATTCGAACTGCAATCAAATGGTGTAACCAATAAGCACCAGCAGAATGTATATATTTTTTCCTTAATAAAACAAAGAATGAACAATGCCTGTTTTTAACATGTAATTTGAGGTTAAAACTTAAAACAACTTGGCTTAATGGTTGTTATCCTCTCCTTAATAAGGTTAAGGTCTCTAAGCTTCAAGATCCCTCTTCCTTCTTGGACCGGACCTCTTATGTTTGAAATGTATATTATATACATGGGATGAAAGTAAAAACCAATATCATGTAAAAAAACTAGTCAGTTGAGGTCATTCTAGGGGATTTTTGGATTCTATTCATCTCGAGTAATGTTCTATATTTTGAAATAAGGAAAACAATGAAAATTACTTTGTCGTGGGTTCTCGAGGCAGCACCCTATTTTCAGTTTTCTTATTTCCACGCCATTGTTGCCTTGTTTGGTTCCAAAGAAGAAGACCTGCAAGCGAAGTTTCATCATTAGAAAATTTATCTCACCATATGATTACCAAAAGGTAGGCTGATCTTTTCAGATAGATCGGGTAAAAATGGCGCTGACAGAACACGGAAACATGTGAAACAATAGAATGCTATTCAACTTTATTTAGTGGTATATAGAAGCTATCTGATCTTGCCGTGATTTATAAAATCAGATAGTTGAGTTGTGCTGCCAGAAGGATCAAGATTTGATGCGTTGTTGTTCGCTGAAAGGGACAGGACTCCGCTATATTCCATTTCGCATGCACTGCTATTCCAGGAATCATCAGAAAAGCTAGCTTTCTGGTCCGGCTCCCTTTGAGATGGATCTTCCACACCGGTAATCAGTGAGGGTTTCGTGAAGCACCCAAAACAACCTCTGCTCTGTTACAAACTAGGATTAGACAAGTGCATATCCGGTATCAACTATCAACAACAGCAACCTAATCTTTAAATCTAGAAGCTGGAAGAAGCCATCGTTTTCACAACCATGGCAGGGTAGAAATCTCAAAAGTGTTGAAACTTCGAAATGTGTGATGTCAAACACAATCAACGAGGACTCGTACTTGAAACTTAGTGAAATAGCAATCATTTTACTTAGTCAACATTGGCATGAGCTACATATATGACCGTAGTACAGCTGAATAATGCAAATTTTGCTGCCTTAATATCCGACAAGAAGGGAATCAACAACAAATACCACTCAAACCCATTTTCACATAGATGCTGGGCAGGTAAATAATGCAAATTGCACCAACTTAATCTTCAACCAACATGCACGGTACCAAACTTGTGTATGAACTGAAAGCAACTACAAATATCACTCAAGCCCATTTTCCTAAAGCTTCAATGCAGAACATTTACGAGCCCTTAAAATTGTTGAGTCTACATGACAAGAGACAACATATATAACCACTAGATCTTGCACATGAACTCACATGCAAACCTAGTCCATTTCAAAAACAAACAAAAGAAGAACATAAGAAAGAAAAGTAGTTCCTCACTCTGAAAAGAGATTTGCATTTAGCCTTGAGTGCTCCCATTAGCCGGAGTGCTAGAGCACGCAAAAATGCTCCAGAATCCAAAACAAAAGAACAAAATGGTTTCTGCCCGAAACATCTCTCGGTCTGGGCTAATAAACAACACCTAGGATCCATACCTCCCGTAGTAGAACCCAAATCTCAAAAGCAAAACAAAAACTCTTGTGCCATGCAATCAGGTACCCAATGCTTCAAGCAAAGAATGCCCCTAGAATCGAAGTCCCCCAAAGTGTTCCCCCTAGTCTGCACGTCTCATTTTGTAGTTCGCTTATACAACAAGTAAGCACTAAACATAACCCAAAAGATTCCTTACTGTCGAAACCGTCTTTCGGTTGGCCCCGGAATTGGGCTTCGACTTAGATTAAATGTGGTTAGAGTCGCCACCGACCATTTTAAAACGAATTTAGGTGGGTCGGACATCATCTTAACTGATCTGCGTTGTACCAGAAATGTGTCGGGTTCGGGAGTCGGTTACAGTCAAGGAAGGATTAGCACCCTTGAACTGCCATTTCGATACCAATTAATTTATCGGTTGTCTTAGTTGTGAAAAGTTAAAAAAAATTAAATTTAAATTTAAACTACCCGATTTGAATTATTTACCTCCAATGGGTTGGAATTACTACTAAAAATATGTTAGATAAAAAAAGTAATATGTAAAAAGAAAAAAAATAAGAAAATAGATAAAAAATAAATAAATGAAATTTAGTAATATATATATATATATATAAAACAAAACAATTAATAAATAATTAAATTAATCAAGAAATATGGGGACTAAATGATAATTAAACTAAATGTAAAATAGTGACAAAGAAAAAGGGATAAATCATAAGGTAAAATTCGAAAATCAACCCAAAATACCCAACACACAAAAATAGTGACTAAAACGAAACTATTACGGAATTAAGAGATCGGAATAAGAAAAAATAAAATTGCATCAGTGACCATGATAGAAATTTACAAAGTTCAGAGGGCCTTGATAAGATTTTACCCATAATACTTGAAGGACCAATGGGAGAGTTTACCCCAAAGTTTACTTTCACGTGGATGAGTTGGTTTCCTGCAAAAGCAATAATAACAAAATTTTTTAATTCATTTGCAATTCAGAAGCTTTCCCTGTTCCCTTTCTTATACGTTCAGCTCTCCATTGTTGTCAGTCACGACGGTCGATCGACCAGCTACCATCGTGATTGGTCGCCGATGGACACCAAATCCAACGGGTGACTCGTATCGGTTCTTTGGGTCCAAATCCAGGATTTATCCTTCAAAAAAAAAGATTTCGTTTCCAACGAAAAGTCAAAAACCGCTGGACTTCTCTTGCTCCGATCTGTCTCCTTCCACCTTTGGATCGTCAAAATTTTCAGGTATGTCGTTTTTTGGTTTGTCCTCTACCTTCTCATTCTGTTTTGCATGTTTCGTCGGTGGTTACTGCTTTCATCAAATTTTATTCGAGCTACCAAGATGTATGTAAAAAACATGAAACAAAAGGGAAGCTTTTAACTAAAAGAAAATCTTTTATTGATTTTGATGATTGAGTTACAATGGCTGTGGATTTCTCTCCCCCTCGAATGTTATTTACAAGCTTATTTATATCCAGAATGATGTTATTTTTAGGAGTTTATATCCTAATAAAACTCTTGTTTTGTTTGTGTTCCACTCATGCACGTTTGTTGGTGGTGAGCGAAACGGTCGGCGGATGATTCGGGGTTAGAGAGACGCAGCTGGCCGAAGGGTCTTCAAAACGACGCTGAAATGGGAAAAGAATGCCAGGGTTTCAAACCCTAGCTGGACCGGTTCGGGTTTGGACCCCCCACTGGATTCGGTTCGGGTGCCAAACGGGTCACGTGAATTGTTGGGTCACCCACTGTTTGGGTCTTGGCTGGGCCATATGCAAATGTTTGTATAATGGACCTGCAAGTGTAAAATAAACATATGAATGTAAATAAAATTATGCTATATAATATATAAATTATATAATATAATTTGTGGTACTCATAAAAAAAAGATGAAAATTAGGTGTCTATAGCTGCCCCTCTTTGTCATTTTTCGTGGAACAAAAAATAGGACAAAGACAAAAGGACACAAATTTTCGTCAGGCGGAGTTGAAAACTTGACTCTGATAAATTAAGAATAACTCCCTGTCGGATTGTGTTGCGGATAGCTCATTCGTCGCGAAGTCGAGTCCATCTTGAAGGAATTGAAGTCGTAGTTCAAGATTTGAACTGGAACGTGGCTTCTCATTGCCAAATTGTAGTCAACTTCAGTCTTCTTCTCGGTTTAAATACCTTGGTTAAAATTCGACTGAAAAGTAGTTTCTTGACTCCAATATGCAGTTGATAGACCTTTGAGCTAAATGAAATGGAACTCGAAAGGTCTTCATCGACAGATGGCTTTTCTCGACTTAAGCTATGCTGCCGGAAAACAGTTTCTTTGTCACTAAGGCACAGTTAACCCAGGTCTTCTTCTCGACTTGAAAACCTCGATTGCAGCCGGACAATAGTGTGATTGAGGTGTCATCGAGCTGACTGAAATCGAACTCGACAATCTTCTTGACAGATAGCCCTTCTTGCCTGGGGCTATGCTGTAAATGATGTGCCTAAGAGATGAGCGTAGTCGAACTTGAAGATCTTTGTTGGCAGATAACCCTCCTAGCCTGGCGTTATGCCGCAAATGATGTGCCTTGGAGCTGAACGTAGTCGAACTCGAAGGTCTTTTGGTGACAGATAACCCTTCTAGCCTTAAGTTATGTTGTAAATGATGTGCCTTGGAGCTGAGCGTAGTCGAACTCGAAGGTCTTTAGTTGGCAGATAACCCTTTTCGACTTAAGTTATGCTGTAAATGACGTGCCCTCGAAGCTGAGTGTAATCGAACTCGGGGTCTTTGGCAGACAATCCTTCTCGATTTAAGCTATGCTGCAAATGATGTGCCGTTGAGCTGAGCGTAGTCGAACTCAAATGTCTTTTTTTTTTGGCAAATAGCCCTTCTTGCCTTGAGCTATGCAGCCAAATAAAAGTTTAAAAAAAATGGTTTCCCTTCACGGGTCTAAGATGGTCATGATTCTTCAGGTGGTTCCTTTGAGCGAGTCTGAACCTAGTAAGACGATCTTCGGATGACTCCCTTTTACGGAAAAGCCCACTGATAAATTCTGACAGCCGGATATCATCCGTCGTGAAGTTGAAAGTTGTTTATTGACAACCAGCGGTCCCTTCGTCGTGAAGTTGAACTTGCGTTGTCTTGAGTCCGATATCCTTCGCTATGAAGTTGAAATTGACTCTGAAATTGGGAAATTGTTTATTGACAACCAGCGGTCCCTTCGTCGTGAAGTTGAACTTGTGTTGTCTGGAGTCCAATTTCCTTCGTTGTGAAGTTGAAATTGGCTCTGAAATTGAGAAGTTGTTTGTTGACAACCAGCGGTCCCTTCGTCGTGAAGTTGAACTTGCGTTGTCTGGAGTCCAATATCCTTCGCTGTGAAGTTGAAATTGGCTCTAAAATTGGGAAGTTGTTTATTGACAACCAGCGGTCCCTTCGTCGTGAAGTTGAACTTGCGTTGTCTTGAGTCCATTATCTTTCGCTGTGAAGTTGAAATTGGCTTTGAAATTGGGAAATTGTTTATTGACAACCAGTGGTCCCTTCGTCGTGAAGTTGAACTTGCGTTGTCTGGAGTCCAATATCCTTCATTGTGAAGTTGAAATTGGCTCTGAAATTGAGAAGTTGTTTGTTAACAACCAGCGGTCCCTTCGTCGTGAAGTTGAACTTGCGTTGTCTGGAGTCCAATATCCTTCGATGTGAAGTTGAAATTGGCTCTAAAATTGGGAAGTTGTTTATTGACAACCAGCGGTCCCTTCGTCGTGAAGTTGAACTTGCGTTGTATGGAGTCCAATATCCTTCGCCGTGAAGTTGAAATTGGCTCTGAAATTGGGAAGTTGTTTGTTGACAACCAGCGGTCCCTTCGTCGTAAGTTGAACTTGCGTTGCCTGGAGTCCAATATCTTCGTGTGAAGTTGAAATTGACTCTGAAATTGAGAAGTTGTTTGTTGACAACCAGCGGTCCCTTCGTCGTGAAGTTGAACATGCATTGTCTGGAGTCTAATATCCTTCGCTGTGAAGTTGAAATTGGCTCTGAAATTGGGAAATTGTTTATTGACAACCAGCGGTCCCTTCATCGTGAAGTTGAACATGCGTTGTCTGGAGTCCAATATCCTTCGCTTGAAGTTGAAATTGGCTCTAAAATTGGGAAGTTGTTTATTGACAACCAGCGGTCCCTTCGTCATGAAGTTGAACTTGCGTTGTCTGGAGTCCAATATCCTTCGCTGTGAAATTGAAATTGGCTCTAAAAGTGGAAAATTGTTTATTAACAACCAGCGGTCCCTTCGTCGTGAAGTTGAACTTGTGTTGTCTGGAGTCCAATTTTCTTCGCTGCGAAGTTGAAATAGACTCTGAATGAAATTGGAAAGTTGTTTGTTGACAGACAACTTTTCTTGACTTAAGTTGTGCTATAAATTTCCTTTATATGAATGATGGCCCCTTCGCCAAATTTTGTGAGCCGGATATCTTTCGTCGTGGAAATGAAATCTGGCTTGAAAGTGTTAACTGGAAACATGCTGCTCATGGTTGAGCTTGTGTCGAACTGGATTTGTTTTGAACTGGTTCTCGAACCTATCTGAAATTGGTTCTAAGATGTCAAGTCGGTTGAGGTGTAGCTTCTTACTACCGAGTTAATCAACCACCATCCTTCTTTGAAGGCACTTGAGAATCGAGTATCCTTCATCGTGTTATCTTCTGGATGGAGTCTCGTGCCTTGTCTGTCAATCAGGTCCTTGGAATGGATCGTGCCCCATTTGCTTCCCGAGCTTTGGCTTTACAGACCTTTCATATATGAGATTGTTCTGCTTAAAAATGTTTTTCTCCTATTTCTTGTTTTAGGAGAGAGACATGATAAAAATGTTGTAAAATATTGTTCGCAATTGAATCAAATTGTAAATGTGAGTTCAAAAAATATCAAAGGAATCAAGAGCTCTTTTAATGCTTTCAGAGTTACAAATCTTTGACAAATGTTCAAATGGATGAGTTGGCTTTAGGTTAGCCTCCTTTCTAAGGTTTTGGTAACCCAAAATGTCATTTTTTTTTAAATATCGAAATATGCTTTGGCATTTCATTTGGTTGCGGACATAATGACGCAACTAGAATGACCAATTACTAGATATTTTATTTCGGTCCTCTGAAATCTTCCATTTGTTCAAGCTTTGTAGGCTCCTCCAACAAAGGCAGTGCGAAAAATATCGGTCTAAAAATGAAATTCTTGAGTGCTCGTGTGTAGTCGACTATAATAGGTGTTCCTTAACTCCCTTAGTCCATTTTACCGAAACTTCATGCTTAGATAAATTCGATTTAATTTCGTTATCTGGCTAGCTGAATCCATAAAGCCGGGGCGTTTAACCAATTGCTTTAGAGGGACAACTTATCATTATAATCATTTTTATCAAGTTAACTGAAGGGTTCATCTCATCACAAAGTCTTCGGCCTGACAAAAGCAGTGGAGCAAACACCGAATTGCCAAGTGTCCGAGCAATGTCATGGTTTGAATGACATCTATTCATAAAGCCAGGGCTTTCGAGTTTCCTCTATAACCAATTGCCTTAGTGGAATAGCTCAGCTTTACGGATTTAATTTCTTAAGATTGTTAAGAAGAACCTGTTATAGTCTAGGTGTTGTTGAAAGTCAAAAAATTTCATCTTTAGAGTTCAATTTTCAAGCAACTGACCTAAACCGGATTCACCTACTCGACTTTCATTTGTAAAGATTCTCATCGTCATTGAACGTCTTAAATAAAAAACATAGTAATTGTCATATGCAAATGATGCCCCGTGTTGTCCGCACCTTATGAAAAGAAAAGGTTATATTGGTTAATTGTAAGAGCAGGGTACGGTGTTTGAGGGTATATATTCTGGGTAAGGTCAAGGTCCTTGTTTTAAAACATGTTACTTTGTCAAAGATCCGAAACTTTGAACCATTCACAGAGTTTCTTAATTCAAATGATATTCAAAGAATTGCAAGTTTACAAATGTGATTCATTGCTCGTCATCATTAAAGTAACATAAATTTATTCAAACGTTCTTACAAAAACTTGAAAAAGTGAAAAAAAAACAAGTTCAAACAGAATGCCTCAAATGATGAAATGATCTCCTTCACTTGGATGCCCCCAAGTTGTTGAAGTCGATCCAGTTCTGGTTACGCATCTTTTGTATGACCCTTTTGAATGGGTAACAGTTCTCAATTGTGTGCCTTGGGACTCCGCCGTGATATTCACAATGTGCATTCTCATCATACCACTTGGGGTATGCGGGCTTCGTGGGTTCCACCGGATATGGTGACACTATGTGAGTGTCAAAAAGTTATTTGTAGAGCTCTTTGTAGGTCATAGGATCGAAATGTTCTCATTTTTGATGAAACATGTGAAGATAGTTAATGTGAATGTAAAGAAATAAACAAAATGCAAAATGTTTAAATGCATGATGCATGACATATCCAAGGCATTGATCCGAAAAATGTGCCTATTATTCTAAATAATCCTTATTGGGGACAAAAAATGTTACGTCTGAAGAGACAAAAAACTTTTTGATGGTATAGATCCCGCACAGCCTCTGACAAGTTGATTCGTCTTCCGCTTTTTCACTGGTTGAATATCCTGTCGAACCATTCCGGCTCATTTGGCAAAACTTTTGCGGGTGCCGAGTTGTTTGCCCAAAAAAAAAAAGGTCTCGAATGACTGCATCTCCGGCCTTCACTCTATGTTGAGTTTGTTCCAAACGAAAGTGCCATTGGAGCCCTCCATCCGAAGTTTGTCTACTTGTTTTTGGAATTCATCAATAATGGTCTCCAGCTTAGCTAGGGTTTCACCATCTTGTTCTCGTAGTTCTCGAAAGGACTCTCTGGGTCAGTAACAATTTCCTCGTCTTGCCCCTGCAACCTTTGCCTCTGAGTATTCTTTGATCACAGTTGGACTTCTGAGTTTTTTATCTCTTTGTATTATAACCCCTTTGTCCGTTAATGCAGATTATTTACGTTTAACAAACACATTTTTAGTGGATCAACACCTCGTTTTAATGATGTGAATGATAAAAAAATGCCAAAGAATACAAATGAAAGGAGGAAAAAAAGTTAGTGAGATAATGATGATAATAAAAAAAATGATAAAAATGAAAAGTCTTACCCCACATGATATCTACCCCACATGTTTTTTAATCCTACCCGGACGTAATCTCTATCCCGCATGCTAATTTCAAACAAATCCTAACCGCATACATTTCTAGTTCACATGCTTTGAATAGAAAGTAAAGCAGGAAATAAAATCAAAGCAGCCTAGGGTTTGGAATGAGGTTTCGGGGTGGGCTCTAGTTCTCCATAATCTCCCGGTTTAGGTTCTAAAAAGGTACTCGAGTTCTCCTTGTTGGTGCCCCGTTGGGCTTACCAGACCCTTAGTCCTAAACCCATCACAGGCTTGTGTGGACTAAGTTAAACTCGGGAGGATACATTCCCTTATGCCCATACGGAGAATAAATTCACATGAAGGCATAAGGTATATGAATCCCGAAGGTTACTTGCTAGGCCCATACGGAGAATAAATTCACACGAAGGCGTCGCTTTTACCCCCTACTTAAATAGGGTTCGGAGCTCGGGTATAGAGCCAGAGATAGAAACTTTTCAAAAATCTAAAATCATTGAACAAAATGTCAGTACAACTATTTATTTGAAAAATGATCAAAGATAAATAATTGGAATCGAATAAATAAATTTAAAATTAAAATTTTCGCATAAAAAGATAACCGAAAATTAATTTTGGCCTGACTCACTTACCTGTCCCCAGCAGAGTCGCCAAGCTGTCGAAACCGTCTTTCGGTTGGCCCCGGAATTGGGCTTCGACTTAGATTAAATGTGGTTAGAGTCGCTACCGACCATTTTAAAACGAATTTAGGTGGGTCGGACATCATCTTAACTGATTTGCGTTGTACCAGAAATGTGACGGGTTCGGGAGTCGGTTACAGTCAAGGAAGGATTAGCACCCTTGAACTGCCATTTCGGTACCAATTAATTTATCGGTTGTCTTAGTTGTGAAAAGTTAAAAAAAATTAAATTTAAATTTAAACTACCCGATTTGAATTATTTACCTCCAATGGGTTGGAATTACTACTAAAAATATGTTAGAAAATAAAAGTAAATATGTAAAAAGAAAAATAAGAAAATAGATAAAATAAATAAATGAAATTTAGTAAAATATATAATATATATATATATATATATATATATATATAATATATATATATATATATATATATATATATATATATATATATAAAACAAAAACAAATTAATAAATAATTAAATTAATCAAGAAATATGGAGGACTAAATGATAATTAACTAAATGTAAATAGTGACTAAAAGAAAAGGGATAAATCATAAGGTAAAATTCGAAATCAACCCAAAATACCCAACACACAAAAATAGTGACTAAAACGAAACTATTACGGAATTAAGAGATCGGAATAAGAAAAAATAAAATTGCATCAGTGACCATGATAGAAATTTACAAAGTTCAGAGGGCCTTGATAAGATTTTACCCATAATACTTGAAGGACCAATGGGAGAGTTTACCCCAAAGTTACTTTCACGTGGGATGAGTTGGTTTCCTGCAAAAGCAAAATAACAAAATTTTTTAATTCATTTGCAATTCAGAAGCTTTCCCTGTTCCCTTTCTTATACGTTCAGCTCTCCATTGTTGTCAGTCACGACCGTCGGTCGATCAGCTACCATCGTGATTGGTCGCCGATGGACACCAAATCCAACGGGTGACTCGTATCGGTCCTTTGGGTCCAAATCCAGGATTTATCCTTCAAAAAAAAAAGATTTCGTTTCTAACGAAAAGTCAAAAACCGTTGGACTTCTCTTGCTTCGATCTGTCTCCTTCCACCTTTGGATCGTCAAAATTTTCAGGTATGTCGTTTTTTGGTTTGTCCTCTACCTTCTCATTCTGTTTTTGCATGTTTCGTCGGTGGTTACTGCTTTCATCAAATTTTATTCGAGCTACCAAGATGTATGTAAAAAGCATGAAACAAAAGGGAAGCTTTTAACTAAAAGAATATCTTTTATTGATTTTGATGATTGAGTTACAATGGCTGTGGATTTCTCTCCCCCTCGAATGTTATTTACAAGCTTATTTATATTCAGAATGATGCTATTTTTAGGAGTTTATATCCTGAAATGGGAAAAGAATGCTAGGGTTTCAAACCCTAGCTGGACCGGTTCGGTTTGGACCCCCCACTGGATCCGGTTCGGGTGCCAACGGGTCACGTGAATTACTGGGTCACCCACTGTTTGGGTCTTGGCTGGGCATATGCAAATGTTTGTATAATGGACCTGCAAGTGTAAAATAAACATATGAATGTAAATAAAATTATGCTATATAATATAATTAAAATAATATAATATAATTTGTGGTACTCATAAAAAAAAAAAGATGAAAATTAGGTGTCTACACTTACCAAAAGAAAAAAACAAACAAACTTGAATTACACAAACGAAGAATTAAGTACCTTGTTTTATAACCAAGAAAACTTAAGAGTCAGATTTGATAATATTTCACACAAATGAACAGCTTAAAACTACAAACTTTTATTCCTTTGCAATAGAAAAGGAATGCAGAAGAAGAACTGACCCCATGCAGGAAAAAACGGCAGAGATCCAAGTGGGAAGGTAACCAGAGGATTGCATCTAAAATCACCAAAGTAAAAAACCAAAATTCCAAGAAAAAAATTACTTAAATTCCTGCAAATTTTTTTTAAAAAAAGCAATACCTTTATTTTCCAAATCCTTTCCCTGGAAATTTCCGTGGAAAATGAAACTAAGAAAGCGCAAAAAGGTCTTTTGGAGAGAAAGGAAGAAAGAAATGCAATTAACACCTTAGGAACGGCATGTTTAGAGATAGATTTGGATATTTCGTGATGAAAACATAAATCTTGTTCCTGAAAAGTGGTTGGTTTCCAGTTGTTTTAATTACCGAAGTCTAAATGCTCTTTTTCAGTTTTCGTAAGGTCCCTTTTTGTTGCCTCTTAAATTAATCGGTTTTATGGTTTTATTGAATGTCGTGAAACTGCAAGTTTCTTTAAAACCTTGCGGTTAAAGTTGGTTACTTTTAGATAAACTCTTCTCCCTTTTTTTCCCCTAAAAATTAAGATTATAATATTAATTACATTTCAATTCATAAATCGATTCATGTTCTTTTTCAGAAGTGCTGTCAATGAAGCTAAGTAGTAACTATTGGCGGAAGGATGTTCGATTTGCTGCCAAGGACGACAGCTTTGGTGTCTGGAAAAGTTTCAGCCTCTGGAAGTGATGAAACTGAGCCATCTTCCCCAACATTAATCGGGTAACGAAGCAGGTGACCCGAGAGATCCTCGTCAAACGTTTCGTTTTGTGTACAAATTCCAATTTCTTTCAGCAATAGAATTCACTTCCATGATACATTTCTTGGTTTCTGGAGTAGTGAAAGAGATATGAAGCTGTCCAAGATGTTCATGCCAAAGAGCCATACGAAGACCATATATCTGACCCGTGCTGGTTGAGTAGTAGGCTAAATGGTGTGGTTGAAATCAGGGTTTTAAATCGCGGTCGCGGTCGCGTTTTTTGTTATTTCGAATTTACCGTAATTGCGGTCGCGGACGTTATTGCGGCCGTCGCAGGTAACTCGGACGGCGGCGAAACCGCTATATCGCCGCGGACCGTTTTTTAAAACCCTGGTTGAAATGCTCCCATTGCAATCTCCGAGTCTCTGGAACCAGCCATTGATCTCTCATTGATGTTGGCAGATCCGATGATAATGTATTCATCGTCAACTGATGAACAAGAACAACAGCAACAACAACAAGAAGTTATAAATAAAAGGTCAGGAGATTTCTACTAAACTAAAACTATGCCGAGTTTCCTTACATACCTATCATCATCTTTGAATGAACATAGATCATAAACCGGAGTGACTGTTGAGATCTGCCATAATCTGAATTAGTGTCTGGTTTCTCTTTAGGTGTATACTCTTCAGTCTTCTTTGTCTCCCGGTTCCCAAGGCAGTAAAAAGCCAAATAGTCTCGGGGATGTGAGTTTAGACCCTTGTTTTGAAGGGCTTGTGCAACATCACGATACATCATTTCGATTGTTCTCCTTTGCCAATCCAAGATTGCCTGAATTGGACCACTGTCTGGTATACCTTCTGGCCACATTGAAATCACAATGTAGACTGAGAACCTCTCCCCTGTTTTTCTTTTACTTGCGATCTTTAGGACAGTTCTTTTGGTACGAGATTTAAAGCAGCAATGTCCTCATCCTTAACGTCCTTTGGGTTCCAACCAAAGGAGCTTCCAAGGAAATATTGGTTTTCAACGTAAATAAAGTTCTTTGCTTCGGCGTATTGCATTGATATGAGCATCTTGAATGCTTTGCTCAATGAAGGTATTTTTCCCACTGATAAGGTCGAGTTTCTTCGCTAGCTCAATTTTTTCAGGAAAGCCAACAACAGCTCCATCATCGATGGATCGAAACAACTGGACACACCATGTTTCACTGTGATCTAAAGGCAGGTTCTTTTGTGGCCCGACTGTCACTTCCTTGAGCTTGCTCCTAGGAAACAGGAGATGTTTCTTAAACCGAGCTTGTCTTAACCACCTTTGTTCGAAATTGTAAAGGACATCCCAAGCAACCGGACCTTCTAGTTTGCAATGAATATCATGCCAAGGTTCCCTTGGACCACCTTTCTTGATCGAAGAGTAGGCAAAGTTTGGCTGATGGAAATCATCATGATGAATGTCGTTCAAAGTCCCGAATAGAAGATGGTCTTGAGTATCATATCTTCCATCACAAAGATCAAGGCCGCCAATGAAACTGACTATCATCCCAAACAAGCAAAAGAACTCTCACCCCTTCCTTAGCCTTCCTAAGAAGCAGCTGCCCAAGTGTTTCTTCACTTCCAGGCTTTTGCTTACTTGGGTCCCTAATCAAAGTTATCTGTGTGTAAACAGACCAACCAGTTATATATATGAAGTGTTTGGCCTTATCAATTGCCTCAAAGATGTCATCCCAACATCTATGAGGTTCGTAACTCATCCCTCCAGATAGATGTATTTTAGGCTTGAAACGATCCAAAATGTTGGCATCTTGATAGACAGTAACCTTGCATCCCGCTCGTTGCTCAAAGAAAGTAAAAGGAACTCCTCCAAAATCTGGGTTTTTAATTTCTCTAGACCAACTTTAATCCACGGAAACACTTTTAAACTGCATCCTAATATGGATTATGGACTGTCCGGGTATTGGCTTCTGCTCCTCATCAAGGATTTGAAGATCAGGAGTCACGGTAGACCCATCGATTATGTCTTTGACAGGCAAATAAGCTCGGCCTATTAGCACTGCCCAATGGGACTGTTATCCTTTACAGCGAATATAACATGTGAGTTCAAATGGGCATAAAATATGCGGAAGTCCTCGTTCCAATGGGGTGACTATGGTTTATGTCTTACAATCGTTGTGCGGGCGACCCTCTCTTTGTCTAGATCGACTGTTGCATACAGATGTGGACCTAAGAACTGCAAAAAAGATGTCATTGAAATGTTTTAGAACACAAAAGATCACAAGCGATTAGTGAAACTTCAAAGGATAAGGCAGGTATCGCACCGTTCTCTTGACTTTGGCAAGACATTTTTTCTGGAACTTGCCTGCGCTCATTGTCTCCGCCATTTAAAGAAAACAAGAGCACAATGATTCAATTCCATCGGTATGACAAATATGCATGTCTATCGGTACGACTTATTCTTATCTAGACTCAAGGTGAATGGCAATATGTATGTTGAGTATGTTCATTTTTGGAGGGTTGCACACCCTTACTTTTAGGTTCAAAGAGTTCAGATAACATAAAGAAATGAGAATTTATTCCTGAGATGAATGCAGCTCAAACTTCATCAACAAATAGTCCCCAAATAATACTTGCTTACCCCAAGGCAAAAATTCTCTTTACATCCATAATGTAGCTCATTAATCCCATATATCGTGGCAAAAAGTCTCCCATGCAATAAATATTTCTTCTCTTGTTGCTCCATTGTTTAACCTGCAAAGCGTTAACAATATCAGACAAAAAATGCACCCACAATCCGTACATATCCCTAAACAAGGGGGAATAGAGGTTTGGGGTGATTGCCTTAGAGATAGGTTAATGGATGACTAAGATTTTGATGAGACATGCTCTCCAAAATTATACTTCGTATTGCTTTTCTCTCATTTGAAAGTGTGAAGAAAGCGACAATATGCATTGCAATTTGGAGTAGGAATCAGATCCCAACTTTGCTTCCCGGCAACCACTTTGCCAGAAGCAATGTACGTGTTTTGCGTGCAAAAGGACAGGGGTAAGAGTTGGCTTTTTGTACAAGTAATTTAATCTTAAAAATATTAAGGGGCTGTTTGTTTGGCTCTGAATGGAATCATTCAACGTTGAATGCTGAATCGTTTAACATTCAGCGTGTTTGTTTATCACATCTGAATGATTTAGTGCTGACTGATTCAGCATCAAAGTACATTCTGAATGATTCAGAGCCATTATCAAACAACATGTCACATTCAGAACTAATTCATACAGAACCTCTGAATCATTCAACATTTGAATCATTGAGCGCTTAATCATTCTGAAATAAATAAACATCCCCTAAATCAAATATTCATATTGATTAGTTAAGTTTTCTTTCTTGAATGTTTGTATTGTTACTTACACAGGTAGCAGTGCATGATTCGTGAATGGAACCAGAATAATGGAAGAAAGAAAGAAATGTTCTAATAAAATTTGAACTTGACAATGCATTTTAGTCCTTTGCTTGAAACAACTAAAATATATGAGACGATCGTCTTTCCACACCCTTTTCGATCTATTTTTATAAATAATGATATATGCATATCGAAGATAACGAATCTAAATAAAAATATTCCAAGTCTTGAATTTAAATTAAATTATTATTTTAATATATTTTTAATTTTTTAATTTTTTAAATTCACAGAGAAGGTTTGATAAAATTCTAATATTTTTAATGCGAATTAATTGGGCTTTTAAATTTTCGGTAATTTAATATTTTTAATTCTGGGCCAAAAGTGGGATGGGTAAGGACCACAAGCGTTAACAGCCAGATAGGTCCAGCGCAGCCATAGCGGCGAGAGATGGTAAATAATAAGAAGCAGTTAGGGTATTTTAGGAAGTTAAATAAAATTTCTGTTGTTTATATGGCCTGTATAAAAAAAGCTCCAATTTATACCTCGCTACAAGTACGACACTAAAACATACTTTTTAAAGAGCTAACCCCTTTTTACTTTGCAGGACATTACAAACCCTAGCCCTAGTGCCTTCAGTTTTCTCCCCGTTTTAATTAAGCTCAAAGGTAAATCTCTCGAAGCTGTTTCTCTTTGAAACTCTTTTTGATCTTACGTTTTTTAACGCCCTAACATTTTTTTTGGGATTTTGTAGATAAATGGGAGAAACAAGGGAGGCCGATGCTTACGAGGAGGAACTTCTCGACTACGAGGAAGAAGAAGAGAAGGCACCCGACTCGGTCACTGCTAAAGTCAATGGCGAAGGCGCCAAGAAGTGAGTTTGACTTCATTTATAATGCTTGCTTTCCGTTTCTTTTGTTTAACTGCTATTTAATATTTATAAAATAATTTTAATTTTTCTCTCTTTGGAGAAAGAATAAAGAATATTTTGTTTTACTTTTGTGTGTTATGGTAAATAATCCAAGGGGAAGGAATTTCGCTCTAATTATGATGTTTCTTGTATTTGTAGGGGCTATGTTGGCATCCACAGTTCAGGATTCAGAGACTTCCTTTTGAAACCAGAGCTTCTTCGTTCCATTGTTGACTCTGGATTTGAGCACCCTTCGGAAGGAAAACTCTTGATTCTTCTTCTCTGTTTCATATTTGTTGACCTTGTATACAGTTTCATATTTAAAGCCATAGTTATAATTTAAAGTTCATATATGGCTTGTTCTTTGACTGTTTATCATGTTATTATTTTCCATGCATGGGGTTTTGAATGCATAATGTTTGATTATTTTTAATATTCTCTTGTATGAAATAATTGTTTGGCCTAATTTTTTGTTTGATGCATCATTTTTGCAGGTAATATACCACTATCATAAAGTTTCAATTAACCGGATCACGGAGGTTATATTTTACTTACCATGGGTTCCTTCGATGCACTTTTCTTTGGTTCTACGCCAGTGCAACATGAATGCATTCCCCAAGCTATATTGGGTATGGATGTCATTTGCCAAGCTAAATCAGGGATGGGAAAGACTGCAGTTTTTGTTCTATCAACACTACAGCAAATTGAACCTAGTCCAGGACAAGTTATTGCCCTTGTTTTATGTCATACAAGGGAGTTAGCTTACCAGGTCAGAACAAGTTATGTATCTTTTGTTGAAAGCTTTGTGATCATAAAATATTGCTTTGTTTCTTCAAGTTATATGATATATGTCAACTCTTTTTGTTTTCCTCTTGTAGATTTGTCATGAGTTTGAGAGGTTCAGTACTTATCTGCCTGATATCAAGGTTGCTGTCTTCTATGGAGGTGTCAACATCAAAGTTCACAAAGATCTATTGAAAAATGAATGCCCCCACATTGTTGTTGGGACACCTGGAAGGATATTGGCTCTGACAAGAGACAAGGATCTTTCTTTGAAGAATGTGAGGCATTTCATTCTCGATGAATGTGACAAGATGCTTGAATCACTTGGTATGTTTTTCTTGACCCAAAACTGGATAAGGTTTTATTTTTTCAGTGTTTAATTTACTTATGCAATTACCTCTGGTATTTATTCTTCTTATCTTCTGCAGACATGAGGAGAGATGTGCAAGAGATCTTCAAGATGACCCCTCATGATAAGCAAGTTATGATGTTTTCTGCAACACTCAGCAAAGAAATTCGCCCGGTTTGCAAGAAATTTATGCAAGATGTAATTTTCCATGGCCAATACCACGTGAATTGTGAAGTATCTTTTTAATTCATGCCCAGCTTCCTCTGATAGTTTTGTAAAGTTCTACATCTGGTGGGCCCATCTCTATATACTTTTCTGGTGCTGCTGCTTGGGTGCTGTTGCTTCAGCTAGTTATTCACCAGTTTGCACCGTTTAGGGTTTTAAAGTAGTGGATTTGTGTGAGTTGATTTGTTTTATTTTGGTTTAATTTTGTTTCAGGTGTCTGTTTAGGCTATAGGTATGGGTTTACAGATGGGGTTGGTTAGAAGGGTTAGGCATTTCTTTGATCGGGGTGCATGGAGGGGCTGTCATGTAATAAAATCTTTTTTTAAGGGAAGGCAGCACTTACATTTTGTAACTAAGTAACAAATCTGCAAGGAGGCAAGAAGACTTATGGACCAGAATCTCAATTCAAGGATGTGCAATTTATATTGTTCCGGATTCCATTTGCTTGAAAAAGCTCCCTAATATGATTTACTGTGACATTTGTTTCTTTCAGCCAATGGAAATTTATGTTGATGATGAAGCCAAGTTGACCCTTCATGGTCTTGTACAGGTATCTGTAAAGCTTAGCTCAACCTCCCTCATTTTTTATTTTGTTTTGGAAGATATTTATTAGGAAAATCCTTCCAATGACAGCATTACATCAAATTGAGTGAGATGGAGAAAAATCGCAAGTTGAATGACCTCCTTGATGCGTTGGACTTCAACCAAGTTGTTATATTTGTCAAAAGTGTGAACCGTGCAGCAGAGTTGAACAAGTTACTTGTGGAGTGCAACTTTCCATCTATATGCATTCACTCCGGCATGTCCCAGGAAGAAAGGTTTGTGCTTATCAGCATCATCTTTTATTCTTTCTACATTGACACCTTTTTTGAATGAGAGGCTTGCCAACTTCATATTCTTGTAAAATAAATTACTTAAGGTCCTTCAATATGAGGATCCTTAATCCTTATTAAAAGTTTTTAAAGCAGGTTTTCTGTCATGGTTTTTAATGCTCTGGGTATGGTTGTTTGGTTGCTTATTTCGTATATTCTGCTACGGTGGTTGCTGTGATTTATAAGCACTTGGAAAAAGAAATATTGGTTTTAAGATGATTTTGGGTAATGCAACATGACAATTTCACCCTTTCTCCCCTTTGTAAGAGTGATGCAAACTTGATTTGTTCTTTTGAGTTTACTTGGTATTATTTATTTCCAGTGACCCCAAATCTAGGTACCTTGCTTTATGGCTTGGTTGCTGTGTCCAATGTCTATTTATTGGGTGCTACGGGTCTAGAGGATCGACCTTCTTTTTCCGTTTGAGTCTCCAGAAGGAAAAATTATTAGATGAACTCGGCTCACCACGTCATCCGTGGTCCCAACCAATAGAATCCATTCATCTAATTTTTTCCAAGGTGAATCTTCACCTATTTCCTACATGTAAATAAGGAGTGGGTAGCTATTTGAAAGTTACTTTGGGATGGATGGATCTTATTGGCTGGGACCACGGATGACATGGTGAGCTCTGACATGGTGAGCTGAGTCCATGTAATAATTTCTCCTCCAAAAGAGTAGTGCTCCTTGATTTAATATGATGTGATTTGACTTTTGATGATTTGTAGGTTGACTCGCTACAAGGGTTTTAAGGAGGGTCATAAAAGAATTCTTGTGGCAACAGATTTGGTTGGAAGGGGAATTGACATCGAACGTGTTAACATTGTCATCAACTATGACATGCCTGATTCTGCTGATACTTACCTGCATAGGGTAGGTTTTATTTTGACTACATTACCGTACTAATTTTGTTTTTTTTAAATGTAATCTGTGGTTATCCTTGTTTGCAGGTTGGTAGAGCTGGTAGATTTGGCACCAAGGGTCTTGCAATTACGTTTGTTTCATCTGCTTCAGATTCTGATGTGCTCAACCAGGTTGGGATATTGAGAACTTCTGAACATATTGTCCCCTGATGTATCCTTAATCAAAATACATTCAATCCATTGCAGGTCCAAGAGAGGTTTGAGGTGGATATAAAGGAGCTTCCTGAGCAAATTGACACATATGTTTCCTTTGATGTCTTCCTTCTGCTTCCTATATAAGTTGTTGGACATATATATTTCTTGCCAGTTTTCAGGGCATCTTAGGATATGCTTGATTTTGGCTTGGTTTTAATTGCTTTGTTGGAAAGATTTTGATTTGCTGTACTATTTGCCGCCTTGACCTGATCAACATTGAATTAGTTTAATTTTGTTTCTCTTTCTGTATGATATTTTGTCGTAGTGTTTGGATGTTAGGTTCCATTTTCATTTTTTCTTGGGCGGTAGACGAAATATTTCAATGTGTTAATTATATTGTTCTTGGTTAATTGGTTAATAACCAAAATTTTCTACTGCTTAGCGATTTATTTTTTGTGTGCAGTGCCATCATAAAGGAGGTTTGTTCTACTGTAGCTGAGTTTTTGAGTCCAAATGAATTCAATGTTTGTGTGGCTGGAAGCCACGTGTATTTGTTCTTAAAAGGAATGCTTTTAAAACAGTTGCTTGGGAGAAGCAGCTGAGGCAGTTCCAGTTGGTTTTAACTTTGAGTATTGTAGCTTTTTGTAAGAACTGAAATTTGGATTTAGCTTTTATCTTTGAGGAAATTTTCTTAAGAGTATTTTAGGCTTTTAAGGCCATTGTTTTGGCTATGCTAGAGTTGCATGTTATGTTATAGTATCTTTTATAATTTTGAGCACAGCCACCCTTATGTGTTTGTTAGATTTTGAAATCACTGAATGTTGATCTCTGTTTTTTTATTTTGGGTTGGTATTCCATCACATTGCGAGTCCATTTCAGGCTTAGTCCAGCATTCCTATTCTAATTTTATTCGAGACTTCCTTATTACAATATGATACTCTTTAACAAAATGGGAATTCATCAAGTGGAATTAGTGTTAACCTAACCAGAAAATTGTTCTTAAAAGTCCTAGGTTGAGTAGCTATCTTCTTAAAAGCCATTGGTGTGAGTAGTGTTTGTGGATGTGTGTTGTTAATGGTTAAGAAAATTTTGAATATATAATATTTTGTATTTATCTCAGATTATTGAAAAAAGAAAAGGAAAAAAACCAAAATTAATTAAAATCATTAAATGGCCTACAAAATGAAATATGTTTTAGTAAGCTAAGGAAGTAGTATTCTCAACCTGAAATGAGAATTATGTATAGTACTAAAGACAAATGATAATATTTTGATTACTTGTTGAATTGAATCCTTAATTACCATAAGAATGTTTCTTCAATTAACTTTCGACCTTGATATTTTATTTCTTCTAGGAGTCTTATGATAATGATGTGATTTTTTTTGGTTCTGTTATTCTCTAATTTAGAACTATGTTAGAAGGACGAGCACTTGCATTTCTTGTTTACCAGTCAAACGCTGATGGGCACACCTTGCTTCCACATGCGTACAGGAAAATGAATTTTGATCGCCTCTGAAACAATATTATATTTTGCAATATTCCTTGGTAACTACTTTTAAAGGTCTCATTTTCCAAACGAAAATAAACGATAACGACAACATAAACGTCAAGTTTTCTCCTTTCTATATATGTTCATTGGAATTGAATGTTTTACATTGTTGGTTTCCACTTGCAATTGCAATGGCAACCGTGTTCATGCTTCTATTCCTCACTACCTTCCTAGTTCAAGCCTCTTCAACCCCTTCCGTTGAGCCACGCACTTTTTCTTTCCCCACCTTTGATCCTAGCAGTTGCAGTAATGGCAGCTTAATCTGCATGGGCTCCGCGACTGCAGGAAACGGATTCCTGAGCCTCACACCAGAGCCTACCAACAATTCAGTTTCATCAGGGTCAGCACTAGATCAAGTAGGCCGGGTTCTCTTCCCCGTGCCCATGGCGGCCTGGCCAGCCTCCATCTTCACCACCTTCACCCTCAGGATTTCTCCCTTCCCAAATTCTAGTGTCTCTGGTGATGGAATGGCTTTCATTATTGCTCAAGATAACTCAAGTTCGCCTCCTTCCAGCTCTGGATCCTATCTTGGTATCATGGACTCGTCCACTAAAGGTAGCCCAAAATCTCTTTAAACACTACACATCTTTATTACTTATTAACTGAATAAGAAATCAATTCCATGCCAAATTTCAGGTGGCTTAATTAAACAGTTAGCCGTGGAGTTTGATACTTTCAAGAATGAATGGGATCCGGACGCAAATCATATTGGAATCGATACAATAAGCGTGATGAATCCGGTTGTAGCTAAAAGCCTTAACAGTGCTGGTATTGACCTCAAAAGTAGAAGAAACATCAAGGTTAAAATCGAGTATCATGGTTGGACAAAGATGCTTGAGATATCAATGGCATACTCTGGGGACAATCTAGTGAGCATACTTAACCAATCTATTGATATGTCAAACACAGTTCCGAGCACGGTGTTTGTCGGCTTCACAGCTGCAACGGGAAGAGTTCCAGAGAGCCATCAGGTCCTTGATTGGACTTTCTCAACAATTCCATTGCTGTATCCGGACAGCCATGACTCCAAACTCGAAAAGGTTAAAACTATTTTGTTGATCGTAGTTCCTATCATCATGGGATTATTGGTTGTATTAGTATTCTTTCTTCCATCATTTCAAAAGTTTATAGAAAAGAGAAGAGAGAGGGCTAAGCAGAAAGTTGAAATCGAAACCCGATCAAGAACTGCAGCAAACGTGCCGAAAATGTTCACACAGAAGATGCTTGCAAAGGCTACTTGTAACTTCAGTAAGGAAAATCTGCTTGGAACCGGTGGGTTTGGGAGTGTTTACAAAGGTAGCTTCAAGGATGATCCCCCAACAATTGTAGCTGTCAAGAAGATTTCAGCAACATCGAAACAAGGTCTCATCTACTTATCATCACTGCTCGTAAAACATGATATTCTATTCCTTTAAGAACAATCTTTGTACAAAGATTTATGTTTTCTTTATGTGATCAAACAGGTGAAAAGGAGTACTTCGCAGAAATATGTACCATAGGGCGGCTAAGGCACAAAAACATAGTGCAACTCTTGGGGTGGTGCCATGAAGGTGAACATCTCCTCTTAGTCTACGAATACATGCCGAATGGAAGCCTCGACCGTTACATTGGTAAGTGTTATCTCGACTGGGAGACTAGATTCAAGATACTAACGGGGTTGGCATCTGCATTGCTTTATCTCCATGAAGACAGTGGCAACCGCGTCGTTCACCGAGACATTAAGCCGAACAATGTTATGTTGGACGAGGAATTCAATGCTCATCTAGGCGATTTCGGGCTAGCAAGGTTGCTCCAAAACGATGCAGCAATGACAACCATGTTAGCTGGGACTCCAGGATATTTGGCTCCAGAAGTAGGCTTCATTGGGAAATCAACACCGGAATCCGATGTTTACAGCTTCGGCATGGTAGTAATCGAAGTTGTTTGTGGGAGAAGATCAAAGGGTATCATGGATGAAAACAGCTTGGTGGATTATGTATGGAATGCATATGGTTCAAAAGAACTGATCAACTGTGTGGATCAAATGCTAGAAGGCGAATTCGACGGAGAACAAGTGAAAAGAACATTAATGGTTGGTCTTGCATGCCTGCACCCTGATTCTACACAACGTCCCAAGATAAGGAAAGTGGTTCAAATATTCTTGAACCCCGATGAGCCACTAATGGATTTCCCCGAAACACGACCCGGTGCTGTTTATATATCAGTTTCCTCTGGTTCCACCACAACCAATGTTGAGTCCAAGAGTGCCCCACGGTGGCCTTCACTTGACTCATCAATCTACTGATGAGATTGCTCTTCAATGAGATTTCTGACCCATACAGATTCTTTGATCATTTGGGGATACCAAAAAGAACACTTATATTCAGTTTTTGTCCAAAATATTTATGGCAGTGAACTCAATGTATAGGAAAAATAATTGGTTTATAGTATTTATTCATTCCTTGTATAAAAATAATAAGTTTTCTGACCACCGACATTATGAATCAGCCCAACATGGAAGGACAACAGTAATGGCGTTGCATTGTTTCCTGTGACGTTTTCTAGGACCAGAGAGTAACTGACGTGAAGCTTCCGATCAACCGTTTTTATTAATATTGAGCTTTACGATGCAACCATTCTCATTTCTCAGACCTTGTCCGAGTGAATCCAACCATACCAAGTCGATAAGAAGAAAATGATAAACTACACTGGTGACCACTAAATTATGGTAAAAAATCATTTTGACCATCGATGTTTCAATTTGATCAAGTAGACCACTCAACTATTTAAATAGTTCATTTAAGCCACTCTCTGTTAATTTTTAACGGAGATGGTGACCTATCAGTTAATAAAATTGGCATAATTATATATTTAGTCTTCAATATTTACGTATTCTATCAATTTAGTCTTAAATTGAATTTAATTTAAAAAATTAACCACCAATCCGGGGTGCCATGTGTCACTATATTATTGGAGGGTTAAATTAATTAAATTTAATATTTTTATTATTTTTCATTTATTTTAAATTTATAATTATTTGAAAATAATTGTGAAAAGAAAATTGTAATTTAATTCAAAATATAAAAATATTATATTCATTTTTATTTTTAAATCTCATTAACTAAAATTTAATATATATATATATATATGAAATATAATTTATTTATTTATTTATTAGATATATTTTAATATATATATATATATATATATATATATATATATATATATATATATATATATATATATATATATATATATATGAAGTAATCACAAACAAAATATATAAAAGCTTGTGCAACTTGAAGTTGAAATTGCAATTTGTCTTGGCGGTGAAGGCTTGCCCAAGGGGTCCCTTGTTCAACTCCTTTAGCAAGCACTCATGGTAATTTTGTTTTCTCTTTACATAATGTACCACTGATTGGTGAGAAAAAATATTTAATTAAAATATTAAATTTAAATTAAATTGGCTCTCTAATAATATAGTGACACATGGTACCTTCAGATTGGTGGTTAATTTTTTAAATTAAATTCAATTTAGAACTAAATTGATAAAATACATAAATATGGAGGACTAAATATATAAGTATGCTAATTTTTTAACTGTCACATCATCATCTCTGTTAAAAATTAACGGAGAATGGCTTAAATGAACCATTTAAATAGTTGAATAATCTGTTTGATCAAATTAAAATATCGGTGATCAAATTAATTTTTGATCATAATTTAATAATAACCCGTATAGTTTACTAAGAATAAAAAGACTGTCAAATATCAGCAAGTAAACTGCAAGAAAAATGGACAAGTGCTATCAATTTTCAGTTTCCATAAGAAATAAAACCTCTTTCAAAGCAGCATTTTAAAGTTTGTACAGATTTCACAACTCAGTAAATTCAACATACGCCTTAACTGTTGAGTTAAACAGTCCTTGAGCATATACATGTATTTCCTGGAATTTTGTCAGGTATGGGGCACCTTCTGATCTCCTTAACTGCACATAATTAATATATGTAGTGCACAATCGGCTCTTAAAATGTTGACTCGTCACCTAAAGTTCCAAAAATTCAACCATATATAATCTTCTTGATGGGACTCTGTAAATAGGCAGCAAATCCATCTCTCACACTTGGCTTCATGGATCATGAACACGACGCATTCGTTGCCCCGATGAAAATAAACCATTTTTTCTTTTTTGAAAATAGTACTATGGTTCAGAGTTTACGGTGTTACAGATTGAACAAATACGATCAAGACTATCATAAGTAAAATATAACAATGATTGCTTAGTGATAGTTTGATAAGTAAAAGCACAAACAAATGAGACAATGACAAACATAAACGGATCACACCAACAACTCCAACTTGAAGAATAATTAAACCGGCCAATAAAAAATGCAGTCTCCCCTTAACGACAATCTCATCTGACACAAACGAACTGAGAAACCATGCATCTGAAAAGCAATCAACCATAGAATCACGTAAAATCACAAGACCGAGAAGAAGACTAATAAAAGAAACATGCATCAGAAGTCTATAAACACCGATAGCTATGATATCATTTATCAGAAAAAGAGTCGAGAGAAAACATTATTATTAAAGTATGTTAAACTGAAATTTAAAAAACTAGTAAAAATAGAAAGAAATAACGGGAAAAAAATAAACAAAAGGACAGGAAGATGGCTGTGTACGACCATCACCGCTGCCTCAAAGATAGAACGTTGGGTAACCGGCGACCAAAGAAGAATAACTGCTACAGAGAAGAGTTGGGTAACTGCTGCATAAAAAAATAAACCAATTTGAATAAGCTCAATGGCTATTTAGAATCATTATGAAGCAATAAGTCAGCAGTAATTAGGGTTATCAGAAAATAGTAATTAGATACATGGTAAATTACCACGACTATCATTAAACTTTAAGTTGTGAATATTTTCTTTATTAAATTAAATTACTTCAATTTGATTTTGTTATTAATTTTTTTTTTAAAAATATTAAATTTAAGCATAAAACTTTGGTAGTTTGTTTATCAATTTGATATCTCCATAAAATGGTCACCTCTCTTGATAATCTGTATTGGTCAATCCTTGGCTGTTACCGGTTATCATTTGCAGTAAAAGCAATACTATAACGTTCGTATTTTGCTCTTATTTCTTCTTCTTTGATTCATTTTCTACGAAACCTACTTAAAATGGACGAAAATTCATCTAAATTTTTAATATTTTAATGTTTCGATCTCATCATAAAGTTGTCTAATTATGTTAGTTTCAATATATGTTGTTCATCTTTTTAAAATAATATTTCTTTCTATTTAGTTTTTGAATAAACACCTCAAAATTCTCAAATATGTGAAAACCTCCAAATCTCGAAAAAATTATAGATTTTTGTATCAATTTAAATCGATATAGATTTAGCTTAGTTAAGTTTGAATCGAATTTAAATCACCATGTTCTAGCTTATATCTTTATCGAGTAATCAAATTCATAACATGCTCATCTGATCTAATTATCATATCATTTGATTGTTAATGGTTTAATGATTCAATGCTTTAATTAAATATGAAACTAAAACTTGATACTAAAATTAAATTATTCTATTTCAAAATAATAAAATTAAATATATATACTAAAATATAGTTTAATATAATCGAAATATTCAATTTTTTTATTGTACTTACGTAGTTAGCGATATATGTTCATATTCACAAATGTCAAGATAAACTCTCTTGGCCTATATAACTGGCAATCGATCTTCCACTCTCTCTCATCTTCACGATCTTAATTAATCATCTAATTTAATAATGGCTGTCATTAATTATCGGACTTAATTAAAATTTGATGAACCATACTTTATTATTTTACATCGTCAAATGTGAACCGACATCTTTTATATATTATATACTGATAAACAATGAAAATGGAGAAACCAAATCGACTCTTTTTGGTGGGTAATAGAAATAATTATTATGCATATGAAAAATTAGTCAATTGTACGAATCGATTTATTTTATTAATTAAAATGATGATTATTATTTTTAAAAATTTTGAATTTAAGCACCATCGACGATAGAAAATAAATATCTTCACTTGTAATCATTCTATATTAATAAAAATTAATTGATTTATTATTATTGTAAATATTGATTTATCTCATTAGTTTTTTATTTTATTTCTCATAAAAAATGTGGAATCGAAAGTGACATGGAAACTGAAATTCGACCCACTACCTGATTTGACTAATTTTGTAGGAGATTCCATGTAGCCGTAGGCAATCAATTTCGGTTAGGTATTATATTGGACTATTTTACATTCATTCATTGCATTTTTTCTTCTTCTTCTCAATAAGCCAAAACATTGCCCCTTTTCTTCCTTATTATTTTAAGGAAAAACAAATCATCTTTGCCACCCGAAGCTGCTTTCCAATTAAAGCCCTTTGATTTTTCTTCACTTGCATTGACTTCCAAATCATAGCTTGAAACTTTTATTTATTTAATTTTATATTTCTTCTGTGCGAAATAAACAGTAGAAATTATTACAGATAATTATTTTAAGCTTTTAAATTTCATAAACGCATGGTTAGTAAAATGATGCATACGATTAAAAGTTCATAATGATCCAATTCTCCTAACTTTATTTGTTCAATTCGCAATATTAATATTTAAACCCCAGACGTTATTTAAAGAATTTAACGTCCCATTTTACTATATCGATTTATAGTTAATAATATTTTAATTTTTTAAACATTTAAGTTTGGATTTTACCATGCATAAATTTTAATCCAAAATTATTTTTACTTAAGTTTCATATTGAATAAGTTAAATTTAAATTTATGTTAATGAGTATTTTCTTATAATTCAAATATGGGATAATACAAATTTATTTTATTTATCTTTTTTTATATGGTTCTATAAGTCTCCTCGATTGTCATGGATACCGGTACCTTCGAACTCCTCGATTGTTTGTTTTTTTTAAAAAAAAATTAAAATTTCTACATACCCATTATTTTTAAGGAAAAAAATTAAAATTTTAGACCTCAATTCTTAAATTTCTGGATCCGCCACTGGATATATGTATTAGAAGTGATTACAGTTAAGGGGATATTGATTTTTCATTCATCCGTTTCGGATACTCTTCAAGTTCCCCTCCTCTATATCTTATTCCCGGGGACGTCGGAATGATATATCTTTGTATGTCGTCGTCTCTGTTTTTATTGATCAAATTATCACTAGTCGTTCACCTTTACATTTTACTTATGAATATCCTGAATGTATAAATGATATTATTTTATGTGTTGCCTATTATGATAAATGCAATT